ACTTGACTAAGAAATAACTTTAGAAAATTTGACAGGAAGTTGAATTGTGTGTATTCAGTTTCAAAGGCTGCATCCTTCAAGGACCCAGTCTATCTGGACTGGATCCTTCACGCTCCGTGAAAATAAGGAGACCAGAAGTGTTTTGGCTGTGGATTCAAACAGGTACATAATTCCACGGCTTTCACCGCCCATACGCTCTGTTGATTAGCAACCGTGAGAGTTGACACAAAAAGCAGGAAAAGAATGAAAACTGAATTTTTTGCTACTATTACTTTTTGTAAAGTGAATAAAGACTACACTCATGAGAATACAGAGTGGAATAAAGGTTACGACATGAGTGGAGCATGAGCAAATAAAAGCAAATATTATGACATAAATGCTTTAGAAAGATATGAGTGAATCTAAGCAATGTATGCATAAAAATATCTCTGCAAATCTCTTATATTCAACAACAAAAAATACTTTAAGCAGATGTAAAATAGCAATAAAAAATGAAAATCACACTACAGATATATTAGAATCTGTCCTTAAATTACAGCTAAACCCATTTACACAGTAACAGATAAAAATCTTTCGATAAAACAAACATTACCCGCCACATATCTCCCTCAATAACCATTTAAAAAACTATTTTCATTTATTTCAGACGGAACTATTCACATACTTGTATTAGAATAAACTGCACTTCCAATATTCACCACTGTTTGGCGCCAAGTACCTTTTTCCTCTGAGCATGGAGCGGACAGCTTGCTTGGACTAGCAATGAATCACGGGATATCCAAGGGTAACGTAGGATACACCGAACCCGTCCTTCAAACGGGGAAAAAGAAGGACGCATTTGTAGGCCGCATAACGAGGAGTCTTGCAATCCGAACAGTCCTTGGCGCTGCGCTATGACGTAATTGGCCTACTAATCTGGCCTTCGGAGGACCCAGCCCATGAATTCGAACTCAGTAAATGTCTTGAAATTTAAACTGAAAAGTAAACCACACCACAATAACATTCTGAACAGTAAGATTTACTTTTAAATGAGCTTAAAACACTTCAACTATAACCCATGCAAATAACCATAAACACACTTATGCACACCAGGAATTCTGAGTTCAGATCTTCTGTTTCTAATGCATCTATAAACCATATACCATTGTTGTAAGAATAATTACCTAATAAAAAAACAAACAAATAAATAAAAACTATCCATGTAGGCTATATGTTATCAGAGACAATGTTAATGTTTATGCCTCATACTGGAAACAATATAAAACATAAGAATATATAAAAAAGATGGTTTAGGTTCAGTTTTACTCACTTCTGGTCACAAGGAGAGGTGTCTGATCTAGCATATTGCCATTTAGAGAAATCAACATGTGTCAATGTACATTATGTATTAAGAGATGTTTATGCAGGTCTAAACTGTAGCAAATGGTTGTATGCAAATCTATAAAGCTGATTAGACATTAATTCATGAGAATGAAATGTTTTATACTGGGATTATTCTGAAATTCCAGCACCCTGCAGGAGACTTTTATGTCAACATGTGGAGCTTGTAATTTCCTGAAGTATTTGCCCTTTTCTCTACCCTATCCTTTTTTCTTTTTTTTTTCTTCTTTTTTTGCAGTTAACCCAGTTCAACCACATTTCTTGTGTAAGGCATCTCAGTCCTATTTAAACCCATGTTCTTCAACATACACAACGTACATTATCTGCACATAAGCTTGTGGTCACACTTATGGCCTGACATTCTCCGGAACAATTTATTGCTAGGAAGCAGAATTCATGGTTCCATCAATTATGGCAAGTCATAAAGCACAAAATCATCACACCAGGACACCCATGCGTTACTGCCACTATGATGTTCCTTTAAAGTACTGTGATAGTTTCGAAAGAATGCTATCAGATTGACAACTTTTAAAAAGTTCCACCTTTTTGGTAAATCTGAGATTGACATTTGAGTTTTTTTGGTCAACAGAGGTTTTGTCCTCATCTAATTAGTCTATTTCTTATTGCTGAATTATGAACACTGACCTCAACTTGGCCAGGTGAGGCCTGCAGTACTTTACATGCTGTTTTTTTTTAACCTCTTGAACTGGTCCATGTGCTCTCAGTGTAATTTAGGGGGCCTGTACTGGGGAAATTTCTGTCTACTGACCCATGCTGTTGCCATTTTTGGATTTTGGCTCTCACTGTGGTTTGATGGAGTTAAAAAAACAACAACTGAAAGATCTGGTCTTTTTTCTCATCTTTTCTTTAATTTCTTTAAATTCAGACATGGTGTGTTCCATTTGAATATATTTTACTGTCTTCTCTATGTTTATTTAAGTTATTTCCTGATTTTTCAGCCATAGCTGTAATCTGGCCTAGGTTCAACTAAGAAATTGTAACTTAGCTTCGCATAAAATCTTGGTCGATCAAAGTTAAATCATTACTAAGAAGGGAGATATTTGCGGTTCCCCACACAGTTTGGATGGTTTTTATAGCTTTTTTAAAGACTAATTTTGTGAATGTTCTCAGTTCATCTGGTCAACATATGGGTGGAGGTTGGTTCAGGACCCAAATGCAGAGATAAGGGAGGCAGAGATAAGTTCTTGTAGGTTTAATGTGGTCAAAGGGCAATAGAAACAAAATCCAAGAATCATCCCAAAAAAAACGGGAGATGTCAGGCAGGAAAAAGCTGACATGGAGAGCCAAGTAACAACAAGAAACCAGCAATGAAAAACTGCACAGGAATATTATATATGGGAGACAGAACAAAGAATAGCGTAATCAGTTGATATGGAGCAGGTGTGGATAGAAGTGACTAGAAGGGAGCTAGGCGAAAGGAGACAGGCACAAGGGGCAACAGAGCATAACTTAAGACTGCTTGAATATAACACAAAATGGAAAATAAACCAAAGATCAACAAAACAGAATTACTTCGATAACTGAAAACTAAGAACTCAAAGTCAAGAAGGGGAAACCATAACACCTCTTGACTAATAAATTGGTTGATAATTTTAAGTTTTGATCATATAAAACTTTAAAGAGGCTTAGAGAAGTATTTGAACTCATCTTTGGATCTGTCCTGGGTGTTACCAATAAATTGTCTTTATCTTTGGACAAGACTGTTAAACACCTCATGGAAGCTATACCTAGAAAGACCACAGACTGGAATTCAACCATGACTGTCTTGCTAAAGGACAGCACTGCTTACCAACTATTCAACCCTGTAGTCCATCTTCATTTTCACTAACAAATTTAACGAATGCCAGCTATTGATGCAATAACTGCATGTAGAGTATTTTAACAGAACATTTGCTCTAAAGCATTTAATAGTTTTTGTAGTATTAGCGGAATATGTATTTCTAAGTCAAGTCTTCTTCCTGTATTCGTCTAGGGGAAGGTTTAAAGATTTTAATTAAACAATTTTTTTGTAACCCCTCTGTTGGGCCATTTGAACCCAGGTGATGGTGCAACATGCTTTGTTCTCATCCTCTCAGTCTGTTTCCTTCTTCTCGCTTCCTCGTTGAATACACTCACGCACCAGAACACGCCTACATGATCCTGTTGGGGAATTTGTGGCCCCAGGCTAACAAAACACAACCTAACAGCAGTGGGAGAGCCCAGAGCGAAACTTAAACAGCTCAGCACGCTCACAGCGCCCTAACAGCATGAAGCTCTTCAGTAATGATATTTAAAAGGCTCTTTCTTCACCAGCCTGGTTGCAAGGTGGCTAATCGGCAGAAATCTCGTGGTCAGGGTACGTGTCTTTGCAAGATTGTTTCTAAACATGCTGAGTCAAAGAGCAGCTGGAAGTTTTCAGGCAGAGAGACTCTTAAAGTAACTCCATGTCTAATAACAGTTTACTGTTGCTTTTCTCAATTGTGCATTTTTAGACTTCAGGATACAGTCCAAGCTGACGATTCCAAGGTGCGAGTTTGTATTGTGTTGCGATAAAGATTTATGATCATTTACAGGTACCAAGCTTGCCATGTGTGTTTAAACCAGGTGGTCAGAGTGTAAGGGTGTCAGGGTTGCAGAGATGCATTTCTAGTCTGGAAATAGATGTTACAAAATGTTTAGAGGCTACTGGCAGAAAGAGAGGTTAAGACCAGAAAGTTCACTATGAATTTGTTAAAGAACAAAAAAATAAATAAATAAGAGTCGAGATAAATTTATTGTATCTGGTTTGTGGAACAATTGATGTGGTGCAAATTTTGTATTTGAACTAAGCACAAACTTTTTGATATAGTTATATGTTGGTTCGAATTCCTAAACATTGTTAAAGATTATTTTTGTCCTGAAACTAGGGCTAAAACAATTAATTGGATTAATCGTGATTAATCGATTATTGAAATAATCATGAACTAATTAGTGATCAATTAATCGTTAGGTGGAGTATAGAGACTCTAAAATATACCTGAAGCTGACAGAGCAACTCGCTTTAAGTAGTAATTATACCAGAATAAAAAGTAGATTGATAAATATTTAGCATTTACAATAAAAAAAGCTTTTTAGCCTGTCAATATGCTTTATCCAGAAAAAGTTGAAACAATTTAGTTTCCCTGGTTTAATTCTTTAAAAACATCTTCTTTAAGTAACTTTTTTGCTATCCATTTAATAATCAATTAAAATTAATAATAGATATTAATTCATCAATAATAATAAATATTGAAAAAATAGGGCTGTTTCCCCCAGGCCTGAAACTGGTGGTGGAGTGGAGATGGATGAAGTTGGTCAGTCTGTAGACTGCTGGCTAGTGAGAAGGTATGCCTAGCTTTATGGTGAGATCCAGTGGACTGCGTGGGCTAATACTAGAGCTTACTCAGGGACCTGGGAGATGGAAGTCCAGCTTGGATAACACCGTTTCAGAGAACCTGTCCATGATGAGCAAGCAAGAGCGACAGTGGAGAGGAAAACTCCCTGTTGGGAAGAAACCTCTGGCAAAACCAGGCTCAACATGGCAGTCTTCTATTGTTAAGAACCTGAATGCTTTAGTATACCAAGAAATGTGCTAGCTCTGTTTGGAAATTAAATGAAACATTACAAGATGTGCTTCAGCGCTACCATCTATCTTTACTTCTATGAACACGCTAGCTACTTCTGTTGTCACTGCGTCCTCTACTGCGCATGCGGGACGTTTCATTTTTATGAATGCAGTTCACACAGGAGATCACATACAAGTCACATATGCTTGTATGCAACTTGTATGTGATATATACTTATGTCAAAATAATTGGCATTGGCCTTAAACAAATCTGTATCGGTTCATCTGTAGTTAGAGGTCTTAATTAAATTGCCAATAATAATGTACCAGGACCTTCTGTAAAAGAGCAAAGAGTCACCCTAAGTGCTCCTCCAAAAGACCAGTCTGGAGAATTGTTTATTATTTAAAGGGATTTTGACATCATTTATCTCAGTCATGCGTTGGGGTATGAAAAAATTTCCCGTTGTTTAAAAACACTCTCGCTGTCAGTTTGTTCTATCCAGTTCTAACAGTTTTTTTCTTTATCAGATGTGTTTTCATGCTACTGATTCCCCTAAACTGCATTTTTTTCTCTAAATATTATGTTCCTATACAGACCTCAGAAATCGTATTCTACTCAAAAACAAAATGAAAGATCAGTCATTTCTGTCAGATGCTCAGAATCTAGAAGCTCTAATCTTTGGTCTACACATGACCTTTTAAACTTAGAAATAGAGATAGACTGGTTGACATTTCTGACCAAATCTTGTATCAGTATCAGATTAATTATTTGTGTAATCAGCAGCCATACCATGGGATCTTTAACCTAAGAGTTGTGTAATATTTATCAGTGTGCCATTTTTATCATGTAAATGGAGGGAAAAAAAGCAATATCGCTTTAAGGATTGGCCTTAAAAAAAAAACATATCGGTCCATCTCTACTCAGAAGGTTGTTCATCAACAGTGAATGTTGTCCATTTAGTTTCACTTCAGTACGCACCTGTATACATTCGTCAGCTTTTAACCTTTAACATCTAATCAAGCCTCCTCTTGATTAATGTAATACTTCAACACAGTTTCTTAACTTATGCTGAAACTATAATTCACAAAAAAACATAAAGTAATTCATATTAAACTTCCCTATGAGAATTAATAGATTGTTATTAATACTGAACTGAAAAGGAAACTCTTTTTTCAGCACTTCTGGATGGTTTCTGATTTCCCTTTCAATGGGCCTGGTTTCGCTGAAGGTTTCTTTCTGTCTCCACTGTTGCTGCATGCATGCACTGTGTGAGGGAATGCTGTAGTAAGCTACACAAATCAAGCAAATGTCTACTGTCGCTACATGCACATCAAAGAGGAGTGAACCCTGCACAGTCATTGACTCAATCAGCTGGGTTTCCTAAATAGAAAACGTTTAACTAGTCTGTTTTTGATTTGATTAAATTATCTCTGTGAACTCTCTTGAGAATGTGTTGCAAATTGGTGCTCTATAAATAAAAACAAACTTACCTGAATAGCAGATATCTGAGCAGAGGTCATGCATGTTTTTTATACAAGCTCTTTGCATGCAGTAATAACGATAGAATCCTTAAGGAAATAAATTTCATCTGATTAGACATAGAGCTTAGAAATTCGAACATTTATGTATGAATGAAACACGACATAACTAAAGGTTGATGTTAAGAAAAACTTTGGAAGGATCAATTAATGTTTCTAGATGCAATTTTTAATTAGCTGTATTCTTGTATTTTTTTATTTTAAGGCTGTATTCCTGATTTTCTTAAAGAAAAAAAATGCCATAATGTAAACCTTTCTGTCTCAGCTGCTGGTTTATTATATTACATATTATATATATGTTATATATATTATATGTTATTATAGTACATATTCTGTTATTCTGTTGTTTTGACTCAAGCTGCTTCTTCCTTATTGCTGTTTCATCAGTGATAAAACTTTAGGTGCAACTGAAGCCATGATTTTCCCTAACGAGTTCTGTTTTTAGCTTGTCTACCAAAGCTTTGTTGATAGATAATGCAGGTCCAAGCTTGCGGTGGAAACTATGAGAAGAATGCAATCGAACTATCTTTAAATCAAAACTTATGTATCATTGCTCCCATGTGGTTCAAGATCAAATGTGTAGCATAGGAAACATGACTGAAGTAGAATAATAAACCCACATGCTTGCTGGTGATTCCTGTTGCGCACAGACATAGTCGTTTGTTCACTTTTACTGATTATTTTCTTTAACTTCATTATCTGTATTGAATACCTCAAGTTTTCTTTAATTTAATCATTTCGATAAATTTTGTTCCTCGATAAACAAATGTTCAAAGGCTGCCTTAAATTGCAAGACAGTAAAGATTTTCCACATCTCAAATCTTACAAGCTTAAAACAGAACAATTTACAAATATGAGTCAGCAATCAAAATGTCCCTTGTGTTTAAAAAGCTCATAAGAAGTGTTAAGAGAGAAAATAAGTTTAATTTATTTAAGAAAGTTGTCAGTTTTCACCCTGAATTTTTTTGTCTCTATTTGGTTCAAAGGATGATGTGGGCGTGACGACGCCAACCTGGTCGTGGCGATGTATGAGGTGATGTCAGGTGATACCCTGGCCTGGAAAGGAGCCAGCCCAAGACAAAGTAGCACTGACCCCAGCCCTGAAACTGACTTCACTGGGGAGGGAGGACCTGTCAAAATCCTTAAAGTGTGCTTTTGCACCAACAGCAGCTTGGGGAAGAACTTCAAGCTGGTGAAATGTGACAGCTCCTGGAAAATCCAGGTGAGAGGAAACTACCGCAGGTATAGAAGAAGAGTCAGAAGATGGAGAGGAGAATGGAAATCTTTTGCTAAATTTGTTTTATTAACAAATTCTAATAGAATATGGTAAAGATTACAAAAAGCTTTTGGTTTGATTATTCTGATTAGGCCAAAAAAAAAATGTAATTGGATTTCTTTTTCACTCTTTACTTTGCTCCTGCTGTTAAAACTGAAGGTGTTTTGCATTGAGTTCAAATGAAAGAAATGGTGCAAAAGGGAAATTTGTCTTAAAATACTGTCAATTGTCTTCCTTGTTCCCTCAGGCTATAATACGCTCCATCCTGGTCAGCGGTCGATTGGGGCCAAACGTTGAACTGTCAAACTGTTATGGTCTAATGTTAAAGCACTTAAAGTCAGAGGAACTTCACTGGCTGCATCCAGATCTGACTGTTGGTGAAGTTGAGCAACGCTACGAGAGTCATCATGGGGAGGCTGAGTGGAGGTAAACAAAGATAGTTGGGGGCTTATTTTTGCATGAATGTCTCCTATGGTACATAAGATATAACTCCCGAAAATCTCTGATATTAGTATGTTTCTTCTTTTATTCTGTGCAGGTATGATCTAAGGATCAGATACATTCCTGTTAATTTCCTGGAGAAGTTTCAAATGGACAGATCCACGTTTCTTTATTTTTATCAGCAGGTATGGAATTGGGAACTATTCACTAATTCTTTCTTTCTCTCTGAGTGCATTTATATTTAATGTATCCAGAAACTACTTTCCAGTTTAAAGACAGATGTAGATGAGAAAACAGAGCTGCTCTTACGCTGTATGACTGTGACGTTGTTTTGGTACATGCTCATCCCTGAGGAGATCATTGTGGGGCTCATCTATGTTTCTTTAGAAACTTTTTAACCAATCTTTCTGTGTGATTTGAATGAAATAACTATCTAAAGTGACTTTGTAAGCTGATCTGAAATTTGGTCAAATATTTGGACTATTCTTTTACAAGCTTCAGTCAATACTTTTCTCCTAACAGAACTGCTGTCGCTGTGTAAGGTTTTTAGGTTATCCTGCTAAGAACCACACATTTTTTATCAACTTTGCCAACAAATGGTTTAAGATTCTGATAGATTTTTTTTAGAAGGTTGTGCCAAACCTTTAATATCTTGGCTGAACTTGAAAAGTTGCCTTAATTTGTTTGCACAATGCTCTAAGCTCATGTTAAAATCAGTTTTTAAGTACACCAGTCTCTCTTATGGCAAGAAAAAAAAAACAATACACTGTAGGCACCACTTTGCTTCAGTTAAGGACATGTTCTCATGCTTACAAGCTTCCCCTCTTTACCTAGAAATGTGGTAATAGTTATTCCGATTGAACATTTCTTGTTGCCAGAAATTAAAACCATTGCTAACTCAAATCTCTTTCAAGTTTCTTCTTTAGCAAGGGCTCCTCTCTCACTCATTGGCCTTTCAGCCCATCTTTTACCGTCCAGATAATGACGCTGTTCTACAAGCATCTTTAAACTATGGTCATCCCTGAGAAAGAGAATCTTTCTCCTTCCTGAATGTTATAATGGTGGGAGAGACCCAAACGTTTTACAACTGCATAAGTTTGATGAAATTAATACCTTTAGATAGTTTGAAATATTACCCATGGATGGACCATACTTAAGGGGCTCCACATTCAGCTTGTTTTGGCTTGATCCCTATTGATTTCTTTTCACAAAGTGTCTGAAACAGATTAACAGTTATGACACTTGAGAATTATTCAGTTAGGGTAGATGCTTCCACTTCTCTGAATGACAGCAGGTAATGATTCATCATAGGTGCGTAGCGACTACATGCAGTTTCATGCCAGCAAGGTCAGCGATGGGATGGCCCTGCAGCTTGGCTGTTTGGAGATCAGGTGAGTCACTGCATTCCTTAACTAACAGGTCAGTGACTTTGTTTTGAAATTCAGGACATTGTACGCTGGAGGTTAAAGGCAGGTACTTTGTTTACCTTTGTCTACATGAATTTCATGAGATAATTGCGAAATAACTGCAACATGTTTGAATTTAGCAGTGTCCTTACATGTGCCTCTGCTTTTACAGGAGGTTCTATAAAGATATGAATGCAAAAGGCCTTGAAAAGAAATCTAACTTTGAGCTGCTAGAGTAAGTGTTCACTTTGTTCTAAAGGTGTTCTAAAATGAAGCTGTTTTTTGGTTTATTTTCTTTTTAAGATTAGATGGCTCTCAACTTGTTCGAAATACGTTTTCAAGTTGTTCATGTTAATTTTATTGTTTCCCCTAATGTTTGGTCACTAAGATATTAGATTTTGTTGTCCAATTTCTGTGAGCAACAATACAAGCAAGATTTACATTGAGATGCTAAAACATGTTGGTAGAGCTCAAAATTAGTTGCTAGAAGTTCAATAACTTCTACGAACGTACCCCCAGTTACAATATTCATATCATGTTATACAATAGTCATATCACATATAAGGTCTTTTGACAAAAGGAGACATTACAAATCTAAGCACAATATCACTAATACAGTTTCTTATTTTGAACAGTCAGAAGACATCTAGTAGTATTTATCGAAGATGTTAGAAATTATGCCATTTAAGTGTTTGAGTTACATGCATATTTTTGAAAGATAACATAATTAAACAAGCTTTTAAATTGCCTTAGTGTGGTACTTCTTTTTATTTCTATATCTAACCCATTCCACAACTTAACTCCTGCTTGGCTAAGTCCCAGAATTTTAATTGTAGTGCAGACACCACATCTTCTCAACACACTCCTCTCAGATTGTATTTGTCTTAATTAAAATTCTTTTGTATATTGCTAGAAAGCAGATCATGGCTTGCTTTGTACATAGCAGCAAAAAGGCTAAATTAAATTAGGTCCTTGATTATCAATATGTGAGATTTTAAGCAGAAGACCAAAAAAATGTTGTCTATAGACTGTTTAAATAGTTAGTTAGTTAGTTAGTTAGTTAGCTAGTTAGTTAATTAGTTAGTTAGTTAGTTAGTTAGTTAGTTAGTTAGTTAGTTAGTTAGTTAGTTAGTTAGTTAGTTAGTTAGTTAGGATAGAATAAAGCACAAAGAAGAAAGGTCATGAATTTGAGACACATAGATTTATTTTAATAAATAAAAAACATGAAGGAATTAAGAATAATAATATAATCTAAAAGAGACGATAGGATTTTGCTTAAGTCAGAAAAAGAGAGACATGAATATAAAACATCTGGAGTCAGGAAAAAGATTACACAATTACAGTTATCTTGGAAAAATAGGAGTCCAAACAAAATATTTTCAGTGCCTTGCAAAATATCACTTAAAGTTTTGAGCCCTACACTCCACAAATCTGACCTTGGAGGAAGAGCGGCAAGAGGAATTTGTTGAAATAAATAACTTCTCATGTTGCATTTGCCGTTTGCCACAAGGGCAATAGGTGACACAGAAGACATGTTATAGATGTTGTGGTCTGGTAACATTAGAGCAAAAGTTTATGCTAAACTTGCAGAGTGCAACAGTATAGTGACGGAGGTGTCATGCAGTGCAGATGCTTCTCTTAAGTAGGGATGGGAAAGTTATTTTTTGTGGATGACTGCTGTAAAAGAACTACAGAACCTGCAGCCCCAGATGGGTTAAAAGGCTTACACAATACCAACTTATACTATGACATAACAATACACAATTCTTAGACTTCTAACTTTATTCATTCAAAACTATTCAGCTATTGCCACCTTAAAATATACTAGTCTGTGGCTGTGATTGAAGGAGAACCGAGTGTGCAGAGTGTGATCATGACAAATATAAAGTTCTTTAATAAAGGGAAAATGGAAGAAAACAGCATGAACCATATGGCAGAACATCAGGAGATTCCAGGGAGGAACCAAGAAAACATAGAGGATTTATACTGAGGCAGGGTGGAGAAATGACAGGCTGTGTATTTAAAAGAAATAACCTAAAAGTATAAAAAATAAAATAAGAAACAGCCAATAGGAACAATGCCTAGCTGTAAGCAAATAACTAATGAAAGAGGAACAATAGGAAAATAATCAAAATACACAAAAGAAAATAGAAACACCATCACCTGTGGATTGAAGTATAGTGACATGTTTTGCAAGGTTGCAGATGGTGCTTTAGCTATGTCCAGCACTGAATTAATGTTTTAAAATTGTTTTTAATTTGTACTTATTTTAAGTGTATATGTATGCGTCCTTTAGAAAAGAAGTTGGCCTGGACCTTTTTTTCCCACAGCAGCTGATAAACAGCATGAAGGTAAAACTTTTTCAATACTTGCCCTTTGTTTGAAGGAAACTGCACATGAGATTGTTGTTTACATAACAGAAATACTGAATGTTAACAATTGTTTGTGATTATGATCCAGTCTAAGCAGCTACGGAAGATGATCCAACAAACATTTCAACAGTATGCAACACTTAAGGAGGATGACTGTATGATTAAGTTTTTCGAGACTTTCAAGACATTTATCAACTATGACGAAGAGGTTTTTCCGTGTGAGTTAGTGGTGAGTTATATAGCCCACCTCCAAAAAATTAATAAAAAATCTCATAAGCTGTATGAAATGAAAACATTAGCAGCGATTAATATTAGCGTCACAAACTTCTCTGTTCTTTACCAGCAAGGTTGGAGTCTGTCTGTGGAGCTGGTCATTGGAGGAAGGGGCATTCGCCAACGTTCTCAGAAAGATTCAGCAGTAAGGGAAAAGTTATTTCTACAATTCCTAAGATGTTTAATACCTTACATCTAGCTTTTTTCTTATTCTTGCTCTCAGGTTGTTATAAACATTTTGGTAATGCTGTGTTTTACAGTACATAAATAACAATGTAATAACATGGTTATAACATAGCAAGTAACACTATATTACTTCGTAACAAGAAAAACTGTATTTGGTAATTACCCCAAAATTTAAGTATATAATTTCAAAGTATTTACCTGCATGCAATTATTACAGTTGTATGTTACTATGTAAGAATGGAGACATTTAGTGGGTAATTACCATTAGGTTACTACATAACAGTTTCTGTTATCGACCACCACGTACCAATGCCTTACAAAGTAAATCGTAGCTTATGATTAGGTAAATAAAGCTTTATAAAACCGCACTCAAGTTACATATAAATAAGAGTTTAGCAGAGAAGATTGGCTTTCTGACTTCTAGGTTTTGTTTTCTCTTATATGGCAAATAATAAACAGCATTTTACTAGATAAGAAGACATTAAATTATTGCTGTCGGTGAAATGAATACGAGTTACCTGGTAATAACAGTTTGAGATCTAAAATATCTTACTTTACCTTGTCTGACAAAAATTTGAAGCACATCATTTACCAAAATTATCCAAAAAGTTTTTCTTGTTACCAAGTAATATACCGGTAGTGTGACTTTCATGGTCATTGATGTCCATTAGTGATGTACATTACCAACATTTTAATGTTTTAGAAAATCTTGAGGATTTCAATTCAGCGACTATGTTGTGTGTTTTCTGTACCACATATGTTCGGTGGTAAAAGGAAATCTACTCACTGTATCAGGAGCTCTAAGCTTTAATTCTTATGGGAAAGGGTTAAAGAAATAGTCAGGAAAAACATGTCTCTTCTGTGCCTCAGTTATGGTGGAAATGTTTGAAGTTTGCTGTGCATTTGTTCAAGTTAATAATACATATTAAAGAGAAATTAATTCATTCTTTTCTGCCATTTGAAAGTTTTTTGCTACTCAATACTCCTGGTGTGAACTACTGTAGATGTTTCTTTGTCAATTTCTTGTAGGATAACCTATAAAAAATAGATTTGAAATATTGATATAAGGCATCAGTGTGCAGCATTGGTAGAAAGGTCTAGGCCATTATTTAATAATCTCTTCTTGTGTAAGATAAGGCAAGCTCTTATTAACACATTTATGTCTTTTCATTTTTAAATAAGAAAAAACTAAAGTTTGAAATTATGAGTCAGAAGCTTCCTGAATAAGAATACATTTCTAAAAGTGGTGAATATAATGAGAGGAAAAAACTAATGTTATAACTGTATTTTTTTTTTCTATGGAGCACTTTGTGACTATAGTCTAAGAAAGCCTCTGTATGTATATTTACTTAATTTACATGTTTACAGCCATCATTTAAACTATATCTCAAGTCAAGCATTTTTTTATCATAAATAAGCCTACCTTTATTTTTCCTTTCAGGCCCTGTTCCTAACTGACTTCAAACAGATAAAGAAAATCCAGTGCTTGCCACAAAGCGATGGCAAGGCGCTCCTAAACATCAGTGTTGAAGGCGCAAAACAAGTAAGTGCTGCAGCAAAAAAAACAAAACTAAAGGTTCCAGGAAAATAATCCACTTCGGATATTTATCCTACTTATGGCTGAATGCAATCTTCCTTAACAGAGCTTGTCTATCAGTGTGGCTACGGTCCCTATGGCAGAAAACATGATGGATCTCATTGATGGATACTGTCGACTGGAAAAAGACACAGACGATAGCGTCATTTACCGACCAAACAAAGGTGTGCTTATCTTCCTAAGTCACCTCATTATGAATTGTAAACTATTAAAGAATAGTAAACTATTAAACAAATTTCCTTTAAAACATCTTCAAATTAGATCCAAAGCCTGTACGGACGTCCCTACCTGACATCCCTACAGAGTGAGATTTTTCATTGGATCTCTGTCTTAGCATTTTTGAGGAGCCGGTATTAGAGATTCCTTGTTTATGTTGTTGTTTTTTATTCTGTTTAGCAGCAGAGACCGCAGCTCAGCCAGGCACAGTATGGGTGAGCCAAAAACTGCAGTTTCTCCAACCTTATGTAATAATTTTGTAAATAAATACCTTGATGTTTATTCCATTTGCCTTTTCAGGTTCTGATATTTATTGCGAGATCCTTGATGAGAGACCAAAATCAGGTTTGTCTGACGCTGTTATTCAGTACTCATTTAAGAGAAAAGCAGTTGAAGTATTTTTATATTTTTTTTAATCAATAATGAAACTGTATCCTCCCATAGCTGTGAAATATGGGATTGATAGAAGTGACATAATTCTGGGGCGGATTCTGGGTGAGGGTTTCTTTGGAGAAGTGTACGATGGAATGTACAAAAAAGCCGTAAGTTACTTTTAAGATGCTGAACCACACATACTAATACATATTAGGAGCATGAAAAGCATGTTTGTTTATTATTTATTGACAGAATGGGGAAAGAGTTAACGTGGCTGTCAAGACCTGCAAGGATTGTTCATCCGACGTGATGGAAAAATTCATGAGCGAAGCAGGTTTGAGGGCAAACATTGGTTGATAACAGAAGAAGAAGCAGTGCACATGAAAGAGAGTGATTAAATACCAACATTGCTTTGCAGTGATTATGAAGAACCTTGATCATCCTCACATTGTCAAACTGATTGGAATCATAGAAGATAATCCTGTGTGGATCGTTATGGAGCTTTATGAGTATGGAGAGGTTTGTCTCAGTCATTTCTTCTTTGTAGAACTGTTGGTTAGATCCAACATCATTGTATCAACAATAATGATGAATAAGTGAACTTAACTGGTAAAACAAAAAAATTGACATCCTTACAGCTCGGTAACTACCTGACTAAGAACCAAAAACAGCTGACCAACACAACCCTGGTGCTGTTCAGCCTGCAGATCTGCAAAGCCCTCGTCTACCTTGGAGGGTGCAACATGGTGCACAGGTGAGGAGAGGTTTAAGAGATTAACAAACGTTCAGGTTTCTTCTTCACAGGGTTGAAACATCAAGCTCCTCTGCTTGCAGTTTGTATATTTTAACTTGTATACATGATTGCAAGTATGTTTCTATGAATGTCAGACAGTATAAAAGAGGAAAAAAGACAGGTCATCAAAAAATGAGGAACATTTAGGATAAAACCAATGATCTCTCTTTATTCACTGGATTGCTGATAGCATGAAAAAACTGAAGCCACTGGCTGCCATTCTGTTACTCCCCACTCCCACGGGCCATAAAAATGCCTACTTGTGTAGCATTTTGCTGCAAAAACAAGCAGTTTGCCGGCTGTGGAAAGACGTTTCACAGGTAATTTCACAGTCAGTGGGTGTACTAACAAAGAAAATCTATATATACACTAATGTAACACATAGTATATTATGCAGCATAACATTAGTCTTGCTATCTCGGACTGAGTTGAAGATATTGACTGAGTTAGCCATCAAAGTTCTGTCTAATGTTAGAAAATAGAAAGAAGGGTAAATAGAAAGTAGTTCACTGTGAAATGTCAATGTAGTAATACTTTATAAAGTTGATGACACTGTCTTGTTTGTAGTGTTTGTTGTATTACTCATTTGAAAAAGTAGTGCCGAAATATATGGCATGTTATATAGACAAAAAAAAAGCAACTCATACATTTTTAAAGGCTAATGCACAGACACAGGATAAAAGTATATGGTATCATACATGCACCATTTGCAAATAGAACAATACTATAGCATTAACAGACATGTATTTGTAATTCAGTCGTGATGTAAAATCTTGAAATTCTAAGTCATCAATACATGTATATTACATGTATACTATCAATATAGCACTTTTGGCACATCTATATTATTATGCTCCATTTACACATTAATTTTGTTGTGATGGATTTTTATATTGTTATATATTACATGATTTATAGACTTCATTGTCTTCATAATGACCATGCAATGCGATGTGCCTATTTATTTGATCATAAATTACAGTAATCTACTTATGCTATGAAACAGCCAGTGTGTTTCAAAGCGATAAATTTATCTTTATTTCAAAACTCTTAACCCTCTCAGGCTCAAATTAAGTTGTAGTTGCAGGAAAAATCTGATATTTGGATAAAAGGATCATATGGGGTAGTCATATAAAATTTATACTTTTTTTTGAGAGAGACCTTCACATGCAATGAATTCTGGGATGTTGCAGATTTGCAACAGTGGCCCGGAGGTAAATTAACACTGAAGACTGAATCTGATATGAACGTTAACTTTATTTGAATGTCACAAACAAAAAATTAACAAAACAAAATTCGGAAAAAAAATGTTCTCTCACAAAATTAGAGACAACTTTTTCTCAAACTTTTTCTCTATCGACATCTCAAAACCTCTTGAGAAGGCCGTGTCTGTTAAACTGTTGCTCAAATATAGGCGAACTAGTAGATAAAGCATGTAGCATCCATAGGTACCTGTTTGGGCACACGTTACAAATCCACAACACTGAAATCGAGATGTCTCTGGTGAAAAACCCAGAGGAGATAAAATCTAATAATTGGCATGTGTCATATCAATACACATTCATGATTCATCTGATGTAGTACTGATTTCAAAATAATGGAAACTGGTAGTGATACCTAAATGAAATTGGTACTTAGAAATTGGTGTTTCAGTGACACCAAGGACTTTGGTTTGTTGTGAGTGAGTCGTGCTTTCTATTTGGTTGGCTGGAGAGTGTTTGTTGCAAATGCACAACCAAATCCTTCTGTTGTACTTCTGAGTAACAAAAGCTCTAAAAATATGGATGTGGAGTAATTAGCTAAGTATCATGTAGCTGTTGCAAATCTGCAACATCTGCCGTGTTAAGCGGTTAAGCCCCGCTGAAAATCAGAACTTCATCAGTGTTCGATGCTGTAGCGCACGAATGGTTTACATTGTGACCAGTCTAACTAGGGAGTACCAATATGACGGCCGGTGGCTTCACTCCACCCCTTACTACCAATGGGCTATCAGCAATCCAGTGAATAAATAGAGATCAGTGGATAAAACCCACAAATCTGGACAAGAAAAGAATTGTACCAAAGTTAATTTTATAAAAAAAAATGTTTCCTACAGCCATTAATATGCCTTGAATTTTCTGTTAAAGTATTGATCTCCTTTTATAAATTGTTTCTTTTTCATTTATCTGGTGCTTGGAAGAGACATGATAAACAAAACAAAGAACCTGTTACATAAAAAGTGGTTTATTTAAACATTATTCCAGTTACGTCTGTAGAGGGCACCATGGCTTAACTTTGCTTAGTAATATATAGTACTGTATATTAATTTCTGTTTTTTGTTTACAGCATCAGAAAATAAAAAAAGTGTGCTTTGCCTTGTTCTATTCCACAACCTCTTCTGTTCAACATTTCTCTTCGATTGAAGAAGAACACGTATGAATAGGTTGAAGGAGTCCTTACAGGTTTCATCCAAACTTCAACAGTTTTAATCTCTACATGAATTTATTTTTTTTTTTTTTACTTTTATTGATAAATCTGTCCTATCTGATGCCCAATCACCAAATATAATGAAAAGCTGATCTTTAAAGTGGAGAATCATGTTTTCTCAGTCATGTCAAAAGAGAAAGATAAAATGGAAGATAAAATGATAAAAATACATGTCAGAATTTCTGTTTGCAGTTTGCATCTGGATTAGAGACCTTAACCACCTCAGCCGATTCCTTTTAATGTGGTGGATCAGGAGTTTTACTCTGAGCTCCTAATCCTATTTTAGCCAGCCATCCTAGGAAGCTGATGTTATCTGGATTACTACACATATCCCATAGATAATATTCCCAGTTGGTAAGAGTTGCAGGGAAAATGCACATGTGAACGGAAATATCTGCCTTTTGGTGCACTTAATGTTTAATACTGGCCAGAGAAGTGCAAATAATATTATAGATGAGACCCAGATCAGTCTTTTCATCCAAAGCTCTTTAATGTCGTCTGTCTTAAATAAAACAGCAAGATATTTGATTTCTCCCTCTGAGGCAGAGTGGCTCAGCCTGTTTTAACCAAATTTATCACTGTAAAGCAGAACCTTTGAGTGAGTTAAGCTACTGACAGGAAAAACTGAATGTTATCAATAGGATTCAGGCAGGAATGCAGCCTTTCACAGCTCAAAGCTTCTATGAAGCCAAAATATTGTCAAAAAAAACAAGTTTTCCCCTTGCAAAAAAGCTATGAACATTTTACTTCCCCCTTTTTGATTCAGTTAATCTGAAGGTGAATTAGTGTTTCCTAAGGACAAAGCTTCTTATTGATCCAAATGTTAGTTTATATGCATATTCCGCCTCATTTTGTCAAAGGTTTGTGGCCTTTTATCATCTGTTTATATAGCAATCTACTCTGCTGTATTTTTTATTTTTTTTTGCTTCCAGAGACATTGCGGTTCGGAACGTGTTAGTTGCAAGCCCTGACTGCGTCAAGCTCGGAGACTTTGGTCTGTCGAGATACATCGAGGATGAAGAATATTACAAAGGTAACAGCAGACAATAAAATACATTGCCTTCTAAAATACTGATTTACAATCAGTGTTTTAGAAGGCAATCTAAAAATTAACATAATTTTTTCCTCCGTTTTCTAAAGCTTCTGTTACTCGATTACCAATCAAGTGGATGGCCCCAGAATCCATCAACTTTCGACGTTTTACCTCAGCTAGCGATGTGTGGATGTTTGGTAAGCTCATGGGCATTCGCTGATTTTCTTTCCATGTATATATAAATAATACTATATTTTATATGTGAAAATATTTCAGCTTGTTTAGTTGTATTTTGTGTGTGCTGCTCTGCAGCTGTGTGCATGTGGGAAATAATGAGCCGTGGACAGCAGCCGTTCTTCTGGCTGGAGAACAGAGATGTCATCAACCAGCTGGAGCAGGGCATCAGATTGCCCAAACCGGACAACTGCCCCCCTGCTCTTTATTCACTCATGACGCGCTGCTGGTCCTATGATCCCGGAGAGAGACCAAATTTCACTGAGCTTGTGGTCAAGATAAGGTATTCCCCCCACCCAATGACAAAATTTGAGTAAAGTATTGGAAGGAAGCCAACATCATTCTCTGGGTTAAAAAATATATTATTTTGCTTTAGAAGATTTGCATAATCGTTTGTATAAGAGTGTGACATTGATACAGTTTTCGTTGAAGTCTAACTTAAAAGGTATTGGAAAAATATATTAAAGGAAATTCAACTGCGTGGATTCAGTGCTTATAAACATTTTTGCTTATAATCATTTGCAAGATATTTCCCATGTTTGCAGAGGAAGAGAGAAAAAAGTGTAGGTATTTTCATTCAGTAAGCCCAGTCTTTTCTGGACAGCTTACCATCATTAATAGATAATCTGTGCAAACATATTAAGATAGTAAGTTTCTGTCATCTGAATCTTTAATAAATATAACTCACCATGCAGATGTTTACATTGTCTAATCTTGGATTCTTTTCCACAACTAACATTATTGACTCTCTGAGTTTCCTCTTTTATATTTGCAGTCAATCTGATCTTGGTTATATTTGTCAATCCGATCATAGTTTAAAAAAAGATCTTAATTTTCATTCCGAAATAACATGTCAGTTTTTAAAGAAGTGATCCAAATGTGTCTTTTAGTGATGTGCAAAAGATGGAGAAAGAGCAGGATATAGAGAGAGAAAGAGACAGAGCGCGCGCCACCAAGTTTTTTGAACCAAAGGTGAACTTTGGAGAAGCTCCCCCCAAGGTATAAAACCTCGCCCACTTCATTTAGTATCAGTGTGTTCATTATAAGAACACTTGTCTGATCTAATACAAAAAAGCATTTACTTACCTTTTTCACCTTTACTGCAGCCTTCAAGGACAAAGCCAGGCCGGTTTGGGAACACTCTTAGTATTGGTCTACATATTCAGGTACGCAAGTTCAGGTAAAAACCTTAAAAATTTACAGGACATTCACATTCTAACTGATTTGTTGTGTTTGTGCAGCTGAATGAAGCTCTATGTGCCAGCTCTCCTGACCTGGCCAGCCCATGTGAATACCAATCCCCAGTTGACTCCAGAAACACACTTGCGTTGCCCGTTAGGTCACCTCGTAGGCGCAGCATTGGGGTAAGAGCTTTGAATGCATTTGTAACAAAACTGCTGTCATACTATAATTGTCATTATTCTAGATTTCAAATACACTGTAAAACTTCTAAATTAGGAGGGCGAGTTTCTCCGAATGGATCCAAACAACAGGGAGGACGCCCAGCGGCTGTGGCAGAATGAACGGCGACACATGCAAGACACTCTACGGCTGCAGAAAGAGCAAATGATGGAGGATAAGAAGTGGCTTGAGAAGGAGGAGAAACTCCTGGTGGGAAACAGAGCATCATTAACTTTTGTCCACTCCCTCTCTACAGTATGTCCCTGTGTCCCTCTAGTCACCAATTCAGTTTTAACCTGGAACCTGAGCGGAACATGGCACCTTTAAGCATATTCAAAACTCTTGTTCAACCTCAACGTCCCGCTAATGTCCAATTGAATGTTCCTCTTATAACGGTTCAAAAGAGAGGCCCCATGTCTTTAATGTGTAAAATGAACCTGCCTATTCTCTTGCAGGACCCCATGGGACAAGATAACACTCTAAATCCAGGGGTAGGTACCTATATGTACAAAATCTGATTTTACTGAAACTAAAAGACGATAGCAGGTAGTCTAAAGTAACCAGATTTACTTCACCATTGCTAAATTATAAATAATTGTAAATAGAAATAAATAATTGTAAAGAGAAATTACTTTTTGGTGAAATGATACCTGCAAGTGTTTTAGGGTAGGCCCACATCTCTTCCAGATTTGCATGTCTTTTCAAAATATCGGATAGTGTGCCGAAAACCACAGCCGAGTTTCACTTTTTAATTTCACTTTTGGGGTTTTAACGTTTTAACACTGGGTGTGCTTTGATCTACACTATCTTATTGTGGCTCTGTCTGGGAGTTTTTTTTTCCTACTAGAAGGTGAAACCTGGTTTGAAGTCTTTTGTATCATCTTACAGCTTTTCGTTAACACCTAGCTTTAATACATCAACTGACTGTAAGGTTGAGTGGAGGTTTTTAGAGGACCCAAGAGCAAAGATGGGAGTTGAAGTGTTTTCTGGCAGGTTTAATAATCCAAAGGGCAACAAATGCAAAATTCCACAAACGAAATATAGAAAAAAACTAAATCCAGGAGATGTCAGGGAAAACACACATGAGGAGCACAGAAATGACGACGAACCAGGAAACAGTAACTGAAGAGGAGGAGTATAAATGGGAGACTGAACAAAGATTAGGCTAATCAGCTGATTGGGTGAAGGTGTGGACAGAAGAATGTAGAAGGGAGCTAGGAGAAGGAGACTGACACAAGAAGGCAACAGAGGGTAACCAAGAAATATGCAGAACTCAAATGCAACCTGAAAACACCACCAAATGTAAGTTACACATATGAAAAGTCAAAAAGAAAACTTAAACACAACCAAAAAGTGCAAAACTGTGACACCGAGTAGCTTACTGCACTTGTACCTACCGTTACATCCCCACATTAGTATGATGACAGCACGTTTCACAGCAATGATTTTGTATTTAGGCTAATGTGCTGTTAGTTTTTTACCCTACATAGTGTTTTATATTTAACCCAAATGCTAAGCATTGATATGTATTAAGGCATCTTATACCACATGCTTGATCTGGCCCCTATATTGCTTGTGTCAACGTGAAAACAGGTGCTTCTTGGATGGCTTTTGCCTTCGACACTCTTCCGTACAGTTAACATGAGTAGTATATACAAATAAGGGTTGTCTTTTTTTAAAGACTATCCCACATGAGTTTTGAAGTGTTGTGTAGTTTTTCATGTTTGAGGATGTAGTGAGCTGTGCTCTGGTGGGAGTTCAAACTTAAAGGATAGTTTTCTAACCCTACTTTACTCATATCAAAGACTTTATTATTGACCTGTGTTATGGATAACTAGAGTAAAGAGGGAGGATTTTAAAATACATTCAGGTAAAACAAACTCTCCTTCCATATTATATTTATGTTCTAGTTTTTATATCTCTCCTCTCCAAATAAAATTCAAATGAATACATTGAGGTAATTCATTAGAGGTGAACATTTTTCAAAGAACCTTACAGCAGGTAGCTGGTTTCTTAAGATGCTTTCAGATATTTTATTCTTCGTGCATAGATAATATCTTTTGTCCCTCTTTTCAAAAGTGAAATTTCTATATATACACATTTATTTTATAGAGTAAAATATGTCAAGCATGTTAAATCATTAAATTTAAATATTGCATATGATTATTGAAAATTATGGTTTTTGAAGAGAAGTATGACGAAAAGGTTGTTAAAGTACTTTGTTAGCCCGTTTTCTATCAATGCAGTATGGGATGGGTGTGACCAGCCTGTGGCCCTGTTGATATTATGGAGGCCCAGGTTGCTTTGATGACAGACCTTCGGCTCCTCTGTATTGACAGGTCTAATGTGTCTGTCTTCTTCCACTTGATAAAACACAATAGATTTTCTATTCTAAATTAGGCCAGTTTGCTGGCCAATCCAACACTGTAGCACTATATTCATTCAACCTTCTTCTGGCACCTTTGGCAGTGTGGGCAATACCAAGTCCTGCTGAAAAATGGAATCACCATCTTCATACAATTTCAAACAACATTGGTTGCCTCTCTTCCTCTAGACTCTTCAACCTTAATTTCAAAATAAAATGCATCATTAACTTACTGTATCTGAAATGAGGACTTTGAAACACTGAACCACAGTCTACTTCTTTTTCATACGAAGCCCGGGTAAGATACCTGTAGCCCTGTTTTAGTGATTCTGTTTGCATAGTGGCACTTGATGCATGGACTTGTTTATGTCTTATAAAGCTTTAACAAACTCCTGAATGGACTGCTTCAAAGTTTTCTCAATGTGACTGTTTCTATGCTGGGGCATCTTCTTGACAGTTTATCCTTCCAATTAACTTTCTATGAACATGTCTGGATACAACACTCTGATAAATCAGCTTATTAATGACTTTTTGCTGCTTATAGGGGTGTTTTAATTCAATGAGCTGATTAGTATCGATTCAACCATAAAAAAAAAAAATTGACAACTTTTTTATTGCTTTTTTCTAACTATAAGATGCTGATTAGGTAGAGATATTTGATTGTTCTATTTTACCTTATATAATTTTGTGGTCCTCATGTATGCCTATTTGTTTTCCCCTTGTAGCAAATTGAAGCTGAAAGTGAAAATGGTAAGCACCAAGACAAACTTACTGCAGTATGTTCAACTCTGTTTCCCTTTTTTTGGTGTGTAATGTAACTTTCCTACCACATAGCACCGCCTGAAAAACCCCCACGACTCAAAGCACAGGTAGTTAGAAAATAATAAAATTATTATATTTTTTTCTGAAAGCAGATTAAATAATAAGCTCTCCTGCTTACTGTAAGGGCAATGGGTACCATAACGATTACAATTCCCCTCTAGGCTGCTCCCACAGCAGAGATTGACCGCACTGATGATAAAGTATACCACCACGTTATGAACTTGGTGAAAGTTGTTGTCCAACTCAAAAACGACATCACTGAGCTGCAGCCAGAACAATACATCACCCTTGTCAAGGTAAGCTGAGACAAATTACTTCTCCTTCACCTCCAATTTGTCAGCTGTTGCTGTTTTATTGGCTAATTTAAAATGTAGAGAAAAACCTCCTGAGTCATACTGTTAATTCATTTTCTTTATTGATCTGTACTCACAGTCTGTTGGGATGGCCTTAAGAGATCTGATTCACAGTGTGGATGACGTACTACCCACTTTACATGAGTCAGTCAAAACTGAGGTATAGTATCTCATATTGTGGGTTATCAAGCAAAAGAAAAGCAGTTTTTGAACACTAGTTTTGTTACCTTGTATTCACAGAAGCAGTGCTCTGTAAATAAAGCTGATAAATGAGGCCAATGTTTAATTGCTCTAATCCAGTCCTTTATTTTTACTGCTACCTTAGATTGAAGGAACACAGAAGTTGCTGAACAATGACATGGCTGAGCTGATCAGCAAAATGCGCCTGGCCCAGCAGAACGCCATAACAACATTAAAGGAGGAGTGCAAGAAACAGATGCTGGCTGCCGCACACACTCTGGCCATGGACAGCAAGAATATGTTAGATGCTGTGGACCAAGCAAGAGTCAGGGCTAATTTAGCCAAGCCAGCTGAACCAGAGTGATCGGCTTTTGTTGTTTAAATGAGTTTTTCTATGTTTGTTTAAAATAACACTTTGACCTCATCAGGCAGTATGGTTTTGATAAACATGAGCCAGCTGCATCCTCTGGTTCTTTGGAAAACCATCAGGATATACATGCATTTGATACTACTGATTAGCTCAGATATATTGTCAGAGGAAAATCAAATATGTACACTGACATTTGATATATTAAAAAAGAAAGTCCTGTAAAAGAAGCTTTAAGGAGCATTGATTTAATATCCAAGCGATGTTTAAACTGCTGCCGCAGCTGAGCTGGGACACTCAATTAAAATCTTTGTAAATACATTTAGAATCCTGTGATTAATGTTCAAAATACAAAATAATTAACAGCTTATATCACGTGTGACATGTAAATAACAACAACAACAAAAAAACTTACCTAAAGCTTTAGCAGCTTAACATTTGTGGCCAAAATGGTTTGTTAAAGCAATTGTTCAAATGTGTTGAACTACTTCTAAAGAGGTGATAACCAATCCATATTATATACACTGCAAAAAATGGAAATCTAAATGAGTAATTTTTGCTTAAATTAAGTGCATTTTTTCTTGAATTGAGGAGGTAATTGAGATACTTTACCAATGAAACAAAACAATTTACATTTAAAATAAGAAAAAAAGGCTTTGTCTTATTTCAAGTGCATATTATCTAATTATCTTGTTTTAGGAGTAAAAATACTAATTCCATTGGCAAATTATCTTATATATCTACTAAAAAATAAGGGTAAATACACTCAATTTAAGAATCTTTTTACTTTATTCTAGATGGTTTTTGCAGTGTAGCTCTCATGTCTATGGAAAATGTTGTTGAACCAAAGATTAATTTAGCACTTATCATCTATACTCAAAAAAAGCAAACTTCTGCCATGTTAAAGGAGTTTTAATCTGGAATATATTTTATCAGTTACAATAAACACCTATACATGCTTAGACCATGCTGGCATGAAATATCTGTCTATTTATACTGCATTTAATATATTAACCCTTTAAAGTCCGATCCAAGAATAAAGCAAAACAGAAAATTACTTTTTTTTGGTTTGAAGTCCTTATTTGGCCTTTTAACAAAATATGTAAAAAGAAAAAAACAGAAATACATTTTTGATATTAATAATTTATTACTATGTGATAAGTCAAAATTATTTTTTGTGTAGTCTTCTGCCCTCTGTTATCAGGTATATTTGATTGTGTACAATAGGATTTTGAGCAAAGTTTTTACCATTAAATTATGCAAAAGGTGCCAGACACAAAACATTTCAGAAACCGTACGTATGTATCAAATATGATACATTTGGCATTATAGGGTTACCTCACTAATTTGTTTTCTCTCCCTCTGCTTCTAATCATTTTTTTAGGTGGAGACAAAGTTTTTAAATTCAGATTTTGTCTATCTTACAATGTTCCTGCAAGTGTTCAAGCTCACTGTAGTAAAAAAAACAACAAACTTCGGTATCGTTCTTAACATGGCAGAGGACAGCAGAAGACGAATGCTCAAAATATCAAATTTGAAAACATGCTAAAGTAAATCAAAGATGTCTTAAGAAGAGTATGGAACAGTATGGAACATGAGTATGCCACCCAGAAAAAGCCAATAAAAATATTACCCAAAACACATTATTTCATATAATCATTCAAAAAATAGTTTAATTATTGAAGCTTTTAAACAAAGAACATTAGGAAGAAAAAGACAAACAAGCAAAACACTCATAATGCCAAACTTATGTTGTAAAGGCAAATAAAACATTAGAATATATTGATATTAGAGAGTAGTTGACTGAACTAAGTATGCAGAAAGTATGTTTTTTTTTGTCCAATTTAATTTCTGACTGCTGCTTCTGTTGAACACAAAATAAAAATTGGTACCAAAAATAATTCACTGCATCAAATTCTATAACGACACTCATACTAAATGTCATGTTTTCTCTGATTTTGTTTATTAGAAACATCAGATTTATTTATTTAATATAAGACTACAAAACCACCAGAGGGCTGTTACACAAATGTAGGATAATCCAGGATATTAGATAGAAACAGGCTTGACCTAGCTTGAAAAGTACAGCCTGGGTTCACCTTTTCAAAAAGCGACCGTGTCAAACCTGGGGTAAGTAATCCATCTGTACCTTTCTTAAAGCAACTGTGAGGTTGGTCACAGGTTCACTAATGTTACTTTGGAGAGGTTGTGTGCCCTATATTTCACATCAAATGAGAAACATCTTACGATACGAGGATTAGGAGAAATTGAAACACATCATACATGAAGCAAGAAAAGCCTTTTTTCCTCAGTGTTCCTGAAAATGCAGTCAGTATTGAAGATCCTCTAAACTTATGATGCGTTTAGGTAATTTATTCCACGTGACACATGTATGTGGTTGGCAGGCCTGAACATAACTCACTCTTTTATTTTTTTTATTTTAATGTGTGTACAGTCTAGGACACCGATAGCTTTAGGAAGTCCTTGATCAGAAATGAAAGTAGTTCAGCTGTTCCAAGGTTTCTCTTGTTATGTGTAGCCTAATTTATGTTACCTTCAATGCTATTGAGTCCCTCCTTGATGTAGTCATTCATTTGTGGCTGGTTAAGGTTAGGAGGATGTGCTGATTCTTCTAATGCTGAACACTTTTGAGGGTGCAGCAAACAATACATTTGCTAAGATTCTCAGCAACTCCTACCTTATACAGGAACATACCATAAGCCAAAAATCTGAGCCAAGTACACACGTCAAAGCAGCTGGCAGAGGTGGCAGATGTCATCCGCAGAAAAACACTCTTTATTATCTAAAATGTCATTCAGTCCATGGAAAAAGAAGACGTGTATTTGGAGCTACTTTTATTGGCTGACTTTACTGACAACATCTTTGCTTCTTTATCAGCCATTTCTCTAATCCCCACAACAAATTAATAGTCTATTAAATGTCTTTCTGTATTATCAGAGTTTTAATATAGGCTGATAAAAAAAAAAAAAAAAACACAAAACAATAGATAAGAAAACAATATACTATACGATAAAACTCACTAGTTTCTGATCGCTATGTGTCCACTGACTGACCAGCTAAGGCCCCAGGATTAACTAGTGTGATGGTAGTCCCGGTCTGGAGTAGGCTAGCTGCACAGAATCAATCACCATGGGAACTCATGGCTTACTGCTTTTGTGAAACCGAGTCCACACTAAATTACACTAGGATGTCTGTAAAATCCCGGCTGAATTTGCTGTCCTGGTTTTGTGAAACTCTCAGAAAACATAAGTGACCAACATGATGGTGTATAACAAGAACCCAAACAGAAATGAGGGGAAAGTCTTAACACTGGGAGGTTGGAAAGGGTTAATCAAATTTACAGAGGGATCAACATCTGTGTGGACTGGAAGAGCTAAAGGAAGATGGTGAAAATTAAAAAATAATGGACAGAAGCAAACAAGGAAATAAAAAATAAAACCAGGAAAAAAAAGCTAAACATAAAACATGAAAACCAGACCCAATGGCTGTGTCCGAATGTCTGCCCTAAAATGGTGTAACCACTATATAGGGCACTATATAGTTGTTACACCATTTTAGATGACTGTCTGAATGTCTAGAGGATGAAAAAGTAGTGGACTCGAAATTTCTCACAATGCACTTTGAAAAGTAATGATCATCCATGGTCCTGGAATGTTTTGCAAGGGGAGCTCTCCTTGCAAAGCATCATGGGATTTGCTGTCATAGCGGCCCGCTGTCAGGTACAAATAACAAAGATGGTGCAGGTACCATGCGGGGAGGCAGAGTTGGGTGACCAATGGGGAGCCAAAAATAAGGATCATCTGTCCGAACGGTTATTTGAGTTCACTATATAGTCGCCGCTCTATATAGTGATTAAGGGATTTAGGAGTTAGGGCGGACACATCCAATGTCTCATAACAGTAATGATACCTTGAATGTAATTAGCTTAACTGATTCAGGTCAAAGATTATTGTCTGTTACAGAATTTGATGTTTTACAAACACAAAGGTTCACATGTTTATTTTTAGGTACATCTCAATACTGATTTAATTCAGCATCCATTTTTATTAGAGCATATTGTTAGCATTTTGATATTTAGTCTGCTGCAGTGAAGTCCATTAAACCGCAGTGTCAAATTTTCACAATAATCACTCAATAAATCTGAAAAACTGCATGTTAGATCCCATAGCTGCCAATAGAACTACAAATATTAAAAATAACAGAGGGAAAACTGAAAAAGAAGTTGGTCGTCTTAACATTCTTAGTAAAGCAAGGGGAATTCTGAGCTCATAAAAGTTGTACTATCTAGTAAAAATTGTAATCGGATTTGCGCTGTAATTTTTTTTTCTCCTTCTTTTCAAACTTTCTCACAAAAAGCTAAATCATACCAGCTAACCATGGGGGTAGGAAGAGGCCTATTGTTCCAAGCAGGCACACAATAATGAACATCCACAGGAAGATCCGATCAATAACCATGGCAACGTACTTCCAGTCCTCTTTCACCTGTGGAATAAAAGAGAAACAGTGGGAGGGAAGAAAAAAATCAATAAAAGAGAAAAATGCAGCTTACTGAATAGACACATTTTATCAGGTAAATCTATCTTGTTTGTAAACTGGCCTTTTAACTGCCTTTAGGTAGAGTAATAGTTTCTTGAACGTGTCAGTTCAGAGACTGTTTCTCACTATTCTCTTAATGCAGAGATTTATGGTACACGGACAGTATCAATCCTCTCAGGAAAAAACTCTGAAATTGCTGGTCTTTGCTCTCATTTGTAGTTTTAAAATCCCTTTATCCACATATAAAATCAGGCACAAAATGGAGTTTATAACCCTGCTTTGTCATTGTTTTCGAAATGGCTATTTAAGTTGGCGTGGTAAGAATCTTATTTTTATCCTTTCCTGAGTTATCAAAATCTTTCTTTTTTAAATGTTTTTTAAATCTGTAGAAACATTTGCTAGTTGCTTGTCTTTTTAGAAAGATCTCAGTCTACTCCTAAAAATATCTTCTGTATTGATGCATAGTTTGTAGACCACAAAATGCACCAAAAAAGAATTCTTTAATTTGTCTAAGGCTCTATCTATCTATCTATCTATCTATCTATCTATCTATCTATCTATCTATCTGTCTGTCTGTCTGTCTGTCTGTCTGTCTGTCTGTCTGTCTGTCNTATCTATCTATCTATCTATCTATCTATCTATCTATCTATCTATCTATCTATCTATCTATCTATCTATCTATCTATCTATCTATCATGAATTCTGTTTGTCCTATTTTACCTTAATATTTTTGTGTGAATTTTTAAAATATTGTAATTATGTTATCAGTTTATTGTTAATATAGTAGCAGCTGAAGAATCAGGCTAGTTAGAACCTTCTGCCTAAGAGTATCACTGCTGCCGCTCTCTGTTTTGGGGTGAACCCCTCAAACACACACATCCGACGGAACCCCTTCTAGCTCCACCTCTTCACAGGTGCTACCAGGTACCATCTTGGTATAGAATTAGGTAGTGACTAAAATATGAACAATGTTCTGGATGGTCAAGGTAAAAATCCTTTGACTCATACAACCATACAGTTTCTGAGTGCAACATGCTACCTTTATAATCTAAAATGGCGAATTTTCTTAGTTTCAAAAGAGGTGTTGTATAATTACCATAAACTTTATTATTTTTATCTTAATTGACTGCTACTTTAAGATGAGATGAAATTGTAGCATTGTGGTAGATATGAGAAGCAATACTTACACTAAAGTCTATATCTTCAGCTCTCAGGTGGTCTGCAATGTAGTGGACCCCTTGTAAAGCACGCATTACGCTTGGAGAAAGTATGAAAGGTGACTCTGACACCGAACTGTCCCCTTTAGAGGGTTTCTGGGTTGAGTTGAGCCTGGCTGCTGTTGGCTGTCTGGTTAATCCTGCAACACCATCTTGCAAGTCTTGGCAGTTCTGGCTTTTTTTCTGTTGCATTGGAGGACTGGACTCTGGAGGTCTTGGAGACGGGGGGCGGAAAGAGAAATATGATGTCAGTGTTCCAAGCTCTAAATCCTCATAACTGCTTCGCTCTGGGTTTTTCAGCTTTTTCAGGCTTCCTTCTCTCATCCAGGTGTATGAGGTGCTAATGCAGTGGCTCGATTCGTACCCCGCTATTTGAATTTGTCGCCGTTCTGCTGCTATTTCCTGTTGGAGCAGCAGCAGCCTGCGGCGCCGACCGTCAGGCGCTGGCCTGCGCATGAACAACCAGCGTGGGATCAGGTCCAGAAACACGGAGTGAACCCAGCGGGGCATCTTGTGAGTGCTGGGTGAGCGATGGTGCACATTAAGCACAAATACAGTGATGACAATTGACAGGGTGACAAAAATCATGGTGAAGAGGAGGTACTCGCCGATGAGAGGGATAACGAGAGATGTTGAGGGTATTATCTCTGTTATGAGCAGGAGAAACACAGTAAGGGATAAAAGGACTGAGATACATAGAGTGATCTTCTCCCCACAGTCAGAGGGCAAGTAGAAGACTAAAACAGTGAGACAGGAGATCAATAAGCAGGGAATGATGAGGTTGATGGTATAAAATAAGGGAAGTCTTCGAATGATGAAGAAGTAAGTGATGTCTGGGTAGATCTCATGGCAGCAGTCATATTTCTTTGTGTTGTATGTTCCCACAGCATTGATGATTGCCCATTCACCACTCTCCCAGTAGTTGTTAAGATCCACAGTGTTTTCTATCCGCTCCAGGTCGATCTTGGCTTTGTCGTAGGTCCAGGAGCCAAATTTCATTTTACAGTTCTGCTGATCAAAGGGGAAGAAGGTAACGTCGATACTGCAGGAGCTTTTGTAAATAGCAGGCGGGACCCAACGCACTTTACCGGTGTGGAAGAGGTGAGCTTTGGTCATATGGGTCACAGCAAACTCCCCATCAGCACTAGAGGAAAAAAAATATTACAAAGCAAATGCAACATTTTAATACAAAGGAGGGAAGCAAATTTGAGGAAAAAGACATTATTACCGGTAATAGAAATCTATTTTATCCTGGGAAATGTCATGAAAATGCTTCTTATTTTAAAACCTATGTACTATTCTAATAGTTATAAGAGCTTATGTTGAGGAGATGCTATCATTTAATCAGTTTCACCACTTTAATTTTCACAGACTGATTAAACTGATTCAATGGAGCGGAACTCGCATCACCAACCTGCTTGATTTTAATCTCAGAGAAATAACTTTAGGGGCAGGGAATGGAAATTAAAGGTAGGATTTTATTTGAAAATAGTTCACTTATGAAAGCTGCCCTCATTTTAAAATGAATAAACTTCAACATATTAAGAAATAAGCTCTTCAAATAGCATAATATCCGAATAGTATTCAACTTACTACACCACTAGATGGCACTATGCACGTATCAAAAACCTTCAAACAGATTAGTTTTGAAAGGGAGTTTTTGAAAATAAATAAAACAAGCTGTTTCATAGGTGTTTTGATTTCTACAAATGGTATTTGAATAGCAATATCAACCATTTAAAAGAAAACATTAAAATGTAATATTATTCTATATATGTGATTACAGTTAATTATAAAATGTAAATAAAACAAAGGTAAATACAAAGTGAAATAGATAAGATACTTGGATGTTTAAGGTTATTGTTTAAACAAAGACAAAAATAATAGCTAATGCGATTTAGAAAAGATGTTATTACAGAACAATAGAAAGTGGAAGCTAAGTCACCTTATATACATAGAGCTGCAAGAAAAATAAATAATTTTAAATATTGGTATCTGGTTAAACACTGAGTCTGTAATTAGATGTAGCTTAAATATAAATATTATGGAGTCGGTTTTGATAAAACTAGAATCCGAGATCACACCCCTTAAAATTGTAACCATTAATTTGGATTTGATATAGTAGACCAGTCCAAAATCTTCTCAAATTTGAAGTGAAAGGAAAATGCTACAAATTTCTTAAGACTTTTACAAACATAAATCTAAAATGCATGTGCCTTACAGTAGTATTTAGTATTCACAGTATTTTATCAAAAGTAATAGTAAATAGGGCTGTATAAAAACCCATTTACTCAAATTATTAAATTCGTATTTGCATTTAACAAGAATTTATGTTCTTATATTAATTAATAATCCAGTAAGCCTTAACAACACATATTTAACATACCTGTTTATGGTTATGGGTATATAATAAAAACAAATCCATCCAAAACAAAAAGTTCTCATGGGAAAATGAGAATGGAAAGGGAGCTTAGACTTACTTGTTATAAAGGACTATATCTGGTACCCATATGAGCTCTGATGGAACTCGGATCGATGTTACGTTGTCATAGTCTGATGGCCTCCAGCGAAGTTTGTAGTCATTCCACTCCTGGGAGGGACAAGCAGAAAATTATGTGATCTTTGAATTTTTATTTCACTATAAATTTGGTATAGAAGGTTGATACAGTTCTTAGAAAGAATGACAGATTAAAAAGTTGTAACCTGTTTTAGCCACACATTAGTAGTCATCATTTGATTCTTTTCATCCTAAAAAGCAAAAAAATAGAATAAAGAAAAGATGGGTTGAGAGTAGTTTAAAATATCAGTATAAGCTTGAAGCATTGCCGAGCTAGACATGCTAGATTGTTCATTGGACAGCATCTCTGTAAGTCAGAACAAACTGCCATAGTATGGAGTCAGTATTCTGCCAAAAGTCCACGATAAATACTCCTGTGAGCAGTTTACTTCATACAGACGCTCATTAACTCTTTCTGCTACATGTTACATGCACAAATAGAGTACCATGGGGCCTTAATTACATCACACACGAGTGCTTGTTTCTTCTCTGATCATGTGTGGTTTGATTTCCACTCCCTGTTTCTGTGCACGCATGTCAACTTTTGACACTTTGAAAAGATTACCGACCCGACAAAGCAACCTGCCTGTGATTGGCTACTAGCACTGATGTGTGTAATATACTGGGGGCCAGTGATACTCTATTTGCACATTTAACATGCAGAACATGAGTATGAGGAGTATTTCATATGCGTCTCTATGAAGTAAAGCTCCTCATAGAGCATTTACACAGACGCCATACAGTAAAAAGAAAGAACATTCAATTGTATAGATCTTCATATTTGATACAGATCCAGGATTTTTTGCATGTACTTCTTGAACAAACTACTTTTTTCAGGTTTAGGTTCATTTCTACATTAGAAATATAAAACTAATATGCGCTTTCTTTTAATTGTGACTGCAATTACTTATCATTAGATTTAAAAGCAGCACCTACAGTTCTAAAAATTGATCAAATATAGTTCAGTACTTCCCCCATTACATCCTGCATTATTTTTAAATATGGAGATCCTTTAATCTTTTGATTGGTACTTATCTATTAGGCATTTTTGGGGAAAGTATTTTCCATTAAAACAACAAGATAGTTTTAATCATTTTGTAACAATTATTAACACAATTTTTTCATATAATACATAGTTTAAACTTACCACATCAATTAGCTGCGCAATGGACAGTCCAAACTTGACAATGACCACATCAGAGATATTTGGCACAGGTCTTGACCACTTGTTGTAACCAGAGAACAGCGTCTTAAAGAGCTCATCTTCTGCATGAGAGTGGGTCTTGACATGACCAAAAACTGTGGAAAATAAGATAACTTTAGTTGCCTAAAATGTTTTTTGTTCATAAGTTCATAAGAATATAATAATCATGATATTGTTCTATTATAGTTTCTAAATTAAATACAATCCTTAACTGCTATGTATATCAATGCACTTAGTCTGTATTTGCACTTATTCCTTATTAATTTTTCATTAACACAAACATTCCAATTAAATGGACAAGCATCCATCCAACCATTTTCTGTCACGCTTCATCCCTGCTGGGGTCAAGAGGGGTGCTGGGGCCTATCTCCAGCTGTCTACGGGCGAGAGGTGGGGTACACCCTGGACAGGTCACCAGTCCATCTCAGTGCAGACAAGCATTCAATAGTGGACAAATGAATCGTAATGGCATTCTTTCCTCATTGCTTTCTCTTCTATTCAACAACCACTTGTTAATCTTAGGCATTATTTTTGGTCTTGGTGAAGAAAGTGCCAGAGCTGGGAAAATGGGGGTGTTTCATTACAGAAGTAAACATTAAACATCTAAGAAGTCCTTCTGCTGTGCTATTGACTTTTTTCCCTCTTTTGTTTTTAACATCTTAACAGATCTATTTTTCCAACTTTCACATGCTGAAATGTAGAAAAGAAGGTGAATGCTCTATATTAACAAAAAAAGTTGATATTTATCTATATCTGCTGCTTCTCACAGTGGATTATATTCTTAATTTGAGTTCCTGACAAATTTACATCTTTTTTTACATCAATTTACTACTATAAGCTGAGTAACTGTAGAAAAGCATGAAGTTTGATAGGTTTTTTTTTTTTTTTTTAAGGCTTAGGCATTGGATAATATTATAAAAGCCTGTCTATACGGTGCCTTAAAATCATTTTTTTTGCCACATTTCAGCCACAAATATTCATGTATTTCATTGGGATTTTAATGAGACAAAACACAAAACAGTTTATATTTGAGAACCTGAAAGAAAAGCATATTTTACAAATAACAATCTACAAGCTAAATAAAACATTTTTATTTAGATCCCTTCAATTTAATGCTGCTAAATAAACTCTACCTTCAGAGGTCATCTAATAAGTAGATCAGAGTCCACAATTACAAAGTTCAAGTTGGGTTTAAATCCACTTTTTTGTGTGGTAGCCACAGAGGTTAGTTATATTAGAGAAAAAACAGCATTAGAAGGACCAGATAACATATTAGACAGTTTATGCATACAGTTTAAAAATGAAAGACAAAATAAGCTTTAAAGGTATAGTGGAGGGTGTTCTTTTTCCGGGTGGTGTTATTCCAAATTGTCAATCATTCTGGCGACATGTTTCTGCATATTTGCACTTTCAGGTGTATATGTGCGTTGAGCTATGGTTTAAGCCAGTTGTTGAAGCTCGCCTTTCTCACAGCAGTTCTTTGAAAGCTTTTAGAAGAAAGAAGCAAGACCAGAGTGTTTTTGGGAGATTCTTTCACATGATGGCGTACACTGACAGCACAGTTTGGGCTTCCCACTGATGCCTTGGTTGCAAAGTTTCTACTCAACAGGTAAAGTTTGGCATGCTATTTTGGAGAAATCCATTTAGCATCACTGCTTGTAAAACGAGGAGAAATGTACCTGTGCATCCTCTCGCACAAGTTTAATAGGCATTCCCTCACAGCATTCCCTCACTTTTATTTTAAGTGGAGAATAAGGGTATTTTCAAAAATTCTCAAAAATCCTCCACTACACCTTTAAATTAGGGTTATCTAAATAAACAAGGCTTTTGGTCTTCGAACATCTCTCAAAGATCTGCTCCATCATCCAAACATGGAAAGAGAGTAGAGACAAAAATGCAACCAAGAAGTTCAACAAAAATCTGAGGGAGCTGCAAAGATACATACTATCTCTTAACAGAGCAAGAAGAAAGCCTATTGGATAAAGAAATTTACAAGAACTAAATTTGCAGCTTTGAACAAGCTATGTAAGGGAAGAAAAGAAACACGTCAAAGTCAGTGATTTGGGGCAGAGAAAACCCAAAATCGAGCGTTTCGGCCAATATGCTAAAGTGTTACATGTTAAGGAAAAATACTAACAGCACATATGACTGTGAACACACCACCATGCTGGAACAAGGTTGGGGCAGTGTAAAGCTGTTTAGATGTTTTTGCTCAGCTGAGGAAAAGGAACACTGTCAAAGCTGATAGGAAAATCTATTAATTTAAACACAGAGTAATTCTAGAAGAAACCAGTTAGACTGCAAAAAACTTTTACCTGAACCAGAGATTTACCTCCTGTCAGGATAATGACCCAAAATATCCAGTCACAGCCACATCAGGATAACATGATCTGCAGGTAATGTGTTTTCCCTTTACCTTTAATGGCTTCTTACTGTACCATTTCATAAATTTGTGTGGAGTAGTAGTTAATTTTGTGTCTTTTTCAGCTTCCCTTGTGTTTTTTGTGTTTATAAAGTCACCTTCCTTCTGTTTACCTGACTTACGTCTTTAACTTCACAACATTGCCCTGATTGTCACCTCTTGTTCTCATGCCAGTCATTAACTCTCCCAGTGGTTAAATGCCTGTCAGTTTCCTCGTCCCCCCGCCAGATTCCCTGTTTATCTATGTCCATTCATCACTGACTGCTTCCCCTCGCCTGTTTTCGTCCTGATAGTTCCCCTGCGTTCCAGTTGTCTGCTGTTCCTTGTCAGTTCATGCACTTTTGTAGAGGTCCTTTCCTTAAATAAACAATGATAAACAACATGAAAATCTACTTGTGTTGTCTGGTTCCAGCTTTATCATCACAGCCTTGTATGACATGGGATGCTTTACAAAGTATGATCATATGTTGGACTGGCCCTGACATATGTATACCTGAATTTAATTTGTAATCTGTGGACAAACCTGAAAATAGATGTTCATACTGTAGATGTCCTATACAAAATCTGAATCTCTAGAAACAGATTGCAAATAAGAGCAGTTTTAGCCTTTAGATGAAAACAAACAAACTCCAAAAGATTTATAGCTCTTACTACTACAAAAGCTGGTGCTACACATTACTGACCTGTGAGGGATGGGGTCGCCGTGGTTACTAAATAGAAATGCTCAGATCACTGTAGGACAACTAATTATCTTTCAATGAAGGATTTTTCATTATGCCATATCTAGTGTTTTTCTGTAACATCTATCACATAAAACAGCAGATCTCATTTTTGAAGTAATTATAAGTGCATAATGTTTGAAGGGATTAAAATATCCTTAGAAAAATCAAGTGGCTCTTAACCCTGTATAGGGCATTCAGTGAAAGACTTTAAACATCTAAATTTCAAGCAAAGAGTACACGGCAAAAAACAGAAATCTAAGTAAGTCAGTTTTTCTTAAAATAAGTGAATTTTTTATTGAACTGAGCAGATAAGTAAGATACTTTGCAAATGGAATAAGAAAATTTACATTTAAAACAAGGGAAAAAATGCAGTCTCCCAGTTCAAGAGCATAATATCAAATAATCTGATTTTAAGGATAAAAATGCTCTTTCAGCTGCAAGATTTTCTTATTTACCTACTCAAATTAAGGGTAAATACACTTATTTTAAGCCATTTTCACAAATTTAAAGATCATTTTTGAAATGTGTTATTGGAATCCAGGACAAGACCTTATTACCTTTGTAATGTTCATATTTTGATGGCATAAATGAATGTCAATGTAATTACAAGAAACGCCAAGTTGCCCGTATATATTAGGAAAATAACAAAAGTGCTTCTATAAGAAATTCAATAAAAAAACATGATGATAAAATCAGTTACTGCCATATAATTTAACCAAGTTGTCCGTGCAGGAAAACCCAGTGGAAACTTTAAATGCTGCATAAAACTACTGACATTTAAACAAAATGCTCTTCCAAAATAAAGATAATGGTCAAGGAGGTGTTTTAAAGTATCATAAATCATGTAAAGGGTTTTAAACTACTGTGGGCGCATCCGTTGCCTTTGTTTGTTAATTCTAATCTGACCAAGAAGATCCCAGCTGAGCCTTCTTATCAGGTCTCTTGACTGACCTGGTGAAGTGCGTACATTTGTCAGTGCTTCTGAGAGAGACCAAAGGAGGGGCTAAACATAAAGGATCCTGGGCACCATAGATCAAAGAACCTCCTGGCAGTGGAGTCTTGAAATGAGATGACACCTTCTGAATCCAACAAACTGGGTTCAGAAGGCTGGATGCCAGCCAGGCCTCTTGGCCAGGTCTATAAAACACTGACTGGTTTGGAGAATCGAGTCAGCAGCTTCCTCAGCCAGAGGCGCTCTTGGTAAAATTGGGCTGTCAAGTGCTCATAGTAAAAAGTTAGCAAAGGAACAACATGCACTTGCATCAGGGAAAGAAAACAGTAAGGCTTAAAGTAAAAAAATCCTTACTTAAACTTGGTGGCAAATGAACCAAAACCAGATCATGTAGATTTTGAAGCAGTAAAAAGCTAAATAAAAAAAGGATAGAGATGCAAACTTTTATAATGTTTTTTTTCTTTTCTAGCCTTTCTTGAGTAAGCTTTTGCAAATGCTTGGTCTTTGCAAAGTGCATTCTTGTGAAAATGTATATACCAGTAATTGATATACGTAGAGCAGTTTTAATTGTTATGAGAAAGAGTGTTTGCTTGCTCTAATGTCAATCACACTTTATAGATGAATTTCAAGAAATATCTTACAAAGTATTTCAATACATGAATTCCTGATTTTTTTTTTTTTTTACCTGACTGTTGCTAACTGGTACAAGTTTTCTGCTGCGCACATACATATATTTAGTTTAGGTTAAATATTTTCTGAAAATCTTCACAAATCTATTGCTATGTTTATTGGGATTTTTCCAAATATCTACAGAAAGAATTTGGTCCCACTTTACATTACAATCAATGGAAAATTGTATAAAAATTTTTTACACAAAACGTACAATTGTATAGGTAGTATATACAGTTATGTATGCTCTAGTCCTTCCTGGCCTCAATACTTAACTTAAAAAGACAAAAAATACCATCCATCCATCCATCATCCTTCATTCGCCAGCCAGTGGAGGAGTGGCTTTATTGATATCTTTATGCTTTGTTAATTTTTTCTTTTTTCAGTGTCTGTTAACTGAACAAACATGCCATCTAACCTTTAAATCAGATTAGCTGTTGCTGTCAAGAATGTCTCCCAAGTTTTGGTTTGCAGTCTTTAGCTTTAAATCAACTATGCCAGAGTACAGATTTCATCAGAGGAAATAAAAACAAAAAAAAACAAAGAGGACAATATGTTGGCCAAATTGACACCTCAACCTGTTGAAATAAATAAAGCACAATGCAACTGTGCAAGGACACTATCTACTCCAATAGCTAATTACAGTAAGATCATCCTTAAGGAAAATAACATGATAAATACACACAGACTTTCTCAGAGGAGAGCTTGGAACTACTTCATGGTCAACTAAAATATTTGTAATTATAAATATGTTCTTTTCCAGTCTGCAGTAAAAACTAAAGATTTGGATTTAGCCTCTTCTACTTGAATATTAGGGGAGAAAAATCTATATCAGAACATCCTTGATGCTACTTACTCTTGCAAAATATATGTACAATTTATTTAATAGATACATAATTTTATGTATGTAACAAAATATCAAAAATAAAATGATATAAAAAGGCGTTCATGTAGAACATTTGGTAAAATGAACATATGGCGACACAAGTTTCATGAAATTTTAGAAAATAGGTACACTATAAAATATGTACCTAAAAAATAATTTTATGTTTAGTGGTGTTTATTGAACTGGCAAAAGTCTTTAGTGCAGAATCAGTGATTTGATTGGTTTTAGGGCAAACCTACAGTAGAACTGTGGAGGAATGTTATTTGGGGGAAAAAATAAAATCATCGTAATTCACAGGTTTTGGTACCTTAAACTAAGTTTTTATTTACAGGCTGATGTCTTCTAAATTCCCATTTAAAGTTACAACGTGAAAAGAAAGCAGCGCTCACCTGAATGACCCAGAAGCAGCGTCCAGAAAATGACCGTCCCTCTCAGGAACAGGTGGATGGAAATCATTTTGCGCTCTTTTGGAAAAGAAAAGTCCGTCCTGATCACAGAGGAGAGCGGAGAATGTCTCGCCCGTCACAGTCCGCTCCGTGGGAGACACATGTGTCATCTTCACAGCTGGGATGCATATCAAGAAAACTGCACAACTGCTGCTAGAGGGAGAGGAGAGAGTTGGAAAGCACCAACTACTGCATTGTCTCTAAGGTTGAGTTGATGTACCTTCGGTCACATCTGAAGTGTTGTGTTGCTTTTCCAGATTAAACCTGCAATTTTAGAAAGTTAATCATAAGGAAACGTGGAAAAAATATCCATGTTTGCGCCGGTGCCAATCCAAACTGATGCGCATTTTACGCACGCTTCCGACGTTCTTCTTTCTAAGCTATAATGACTGAGAATTGTTGATGTGGACAGAGGTGGGTCCAACCAGCAGGGAATGTGCGCTTTTATTTGGCAGGACATCGCGCACAGCAAGATCCCTCCTCCTTTATTCTCCTTCTCATTCTTTCTTTCTCTCTCTCTCTGTAGTTTAAACACATACATTCCCAAGCTCTGTACAAAGCAGAGACTAATAGAACAAATAAAAGCATTCAAACGAAATAAGATCACTTAATAAGCATAAGAATTATGCAAAAGGGAGGTTATTAACAAGCTTTCTTCTCCCTCTGTATGAAGGACTATCACGTTTCATTTAATTATGACTATCTTTGAAATATTTTGGGTCATGTGGCTGTTATGACGACCTGTTGGAGGTAGACAATGTTTGTTTTTTCTTCTTTTTTTTTAAGCAGACCTCACAGTTTCTTCTCACTGGAATAGTCTCTGTCAGACCAGGGGTGCAGAAGAAGCTTTTACTGGCTAAATGATTCATTTATTTAACTTTTTTTGTTTTTCATTATTGTTTTTTAGCTTTTGTTTATAGCACTTAGAACTACATATGTCATGTGATTATAAGTGCAAGTTATCATTGTTATCATTGTCATTATTATAGGTATTAATAAATTTGTTCGTTAGTGTTATCTCTCTCTTTCTGACACAGTATTTTTGCTACACAATTTTACAATAAAGTAGACTGAAAAATCACTTTTGAATCCAAAACACTAGAAAATGTTCACTTATAGCTTTATGCCACATATTTTCCCCTTTTAATAAGCCTTCCTTAACTTTAAGAAGCTGAGTTTGTTTAACAATATTTCTAGTGAAGGCAGCTAGAGGGCAGACTAAGTAAATTAATATCTTTGGAGACGATTTAGTCCTTCAAATGTTTGGAGAAACACAAAAACTGCATAATATAGGTACAAGAAAAATAAATCAACAAAGATGGTTTATCTGAACAAACATTATATATAGTGTTAATACCAACACACAATGTCTGAGAAACCCCCTATAAGTGCTCCTTTCTTGAAAATGTTCTTATCCAGATCCGAGAAAACCAAGGATAACAACAGTTTTTACATTATCTCCTCCATGTTGTGTTTTTTTTAAATAAATATAGAAGGTGAACTTTCATAGAATTTTGAGAATGGAGGCCTTATTCTAATATTTGATTTGATTTCCCCTAATCAAATCAACAACAAATGAGCAGGCTGTACCTTGTCTGAGTAATATCTAATACCTCTATATTTTTTTTTCAGATTTTGGCAAAACTTAGCCACTCACTCCAATGTTTTATATGAGCAATTTAAAAATGTATGTACAGCCTTGAAGCAGGACCTTTCAGTGGTCTTTTATACGTAGATCCCCAATGAGATTTATTTGACACCATTTTAATAAACAAAATATCATATCTCTGTTCATTTAGGATTAATGCAATTCTTAAGCCATTCAAGGAAAACATCCCCTTACCGTAGCATAATGGTGCCACCACCATGCTGTCACCTTGGAGACAGTGTGTCATGGATGATATTAGTATTCTCCTTTGTATTGTGCAGTTAAAATAATTTTATATTGGATTCATCTGATATTAAAGAATTCTTCCACAAATGTATGCAACACTTTCTAAAATTCATTAAACAAAATAAAGCAGATGGGTATGTATTTTTTGATTAAAAACATAAAGTACCCATATTTGTGGTCTTAAAATGTTTCACTGGTATGCAAATGTGATGTAGTCTTTACAATGTCTTCTTCAATACATCCAAAGTTTTGAGTTCTGATAGATAGCAAATAGCATTTTGTTTTTCACTGAAGAGAGAGACTAGAGACAGAGATAATGTCACATATCTGAGGAAAAATTTGAAAAAAGGTTTTAGATTATCACATGTATTTTATAGAATAAACACCCTTACAACTAAACCCTATGCATTTATATACACTTTAATATATTTCTCATTATATCATTGTAATAAAGATAACCTGCATCTTAAAACAAGCATCAGGATGTAGAGCTTTTATCCATTCATTCATTGTCCAGCTTCTCTTTGCTTGGTCTCAGGGTGGGGTGGAGATGTTTGGAGCTGGTATCTCCAGTGGTCAGTGAGTGAGTGAGAGGTGGGGTACACTCTGGTCAGGTGATTAGTCCATTAGACGTCAGTGGTATTTCTAGCACAAATCACCTAAATTGGTGGGAGTTCAATTTGTTGCTGGTAAATTTTATTTGGCAAGGTATTAGCTGAGTTATCAGTATGTAACAAGATCTTCTTTATAACTGCTGAAAAATAAAACAGTCTAGGTTAACAAATATCTTATTCTTTATGTTTCATGAACTCAGTTCTTACCCTGGAACCAGATGGAGTCGTTCACTTTCATACTGTTTTTTTTTTATACATAAATATTAGACTTGGCTCAATCTCACACCACACACTGTTGCCATTTACCTCTCAAAGAAAACCTGAGTTTAAGATAATATTCAACAAGATTTGACTTTATGTTTTTCCTTGAAAAGACAACTTCTAAAACCTCCCCTTTCTTTTAGCTTTTATCACTTTCTTTAGCAATACATTTCCTTTACTAACATGAGTCTGTTAAAGGTTCAGAAGACATATTGCTGCATCTCAGTCACAAAAACATACACACACAAAAATGTCTGTCATTCTGGAAACAAAACAGTTTGTGTAATTATTTAATTTTCAAATTGATTTCATCCTTTTCCTAGTGGTGGATTCTGATAACGTCTTCTGCTGCTGAGTAAATGAAGCATGGAGTGCTTTTGATGACCTCTCCAACCTGCTGGCAATGTCTGCTGCAGCACGAAGCATCTCTTCAAAGACCACAGACTCTTCTCTTACTCTGCTCCAAAATACAGAAAAAACAAAACAAAAAACAGGTGAAACAAGTGAAAGAAATAATTTTGACCTACATACATTTATCAGGAGTAAAATATTGTATGAAAAGTGTTTTGTGATGGTAAAGACAGACCATCATACTGAAGAAAGTATGATAAAAAGGTCTTGTTCATGGAAGTTCTGATTCTTTGCAATTTCAAGACATTGCCAGTCATTACTCATCAACCTGTGTTTCAAACAACTAAGCTCTTCAATTATTACATAAATGTTAAGCACGCTCTCCTTGCTTAATCACATTGAGGTTTGTAGAACAATGCTAATAGTCAGCTCTATTTAGGTCCCTTCACAGGATATTTTTCAGGTTTAAGATAACAAGACGTTTCAACACATTGGACAGAAAACTTTTTGCCGAATCTGCTCTTGGTATGCATAGTTGATGACCAGGTGGGCATTATTATGTTATTTGTCAGACAAATGGTTAGCTCAAATTGTTTAGCGTTACTTGTCTGATCATACAGAATATATTTCTGTTTAGAGAGAAATACATATAGGACTCACTAACCACAAGATGAAAATATCATGTTGATTTTTACATAAGATATGTTTTCTTGCAAACAAGGTAAGAATATTTCATTTTTTAAAAAGTGATTTATTAATGTCTTCTCTTTGCAACAAAAAAGGTTTACTGGCTAGATATGATTTATTAATTTAGGACCTAATGGGTAATTTAAACTGCCCTTTTTCTGTGGTGGAATAGCTGTACAACATAATATAATAGTTTTTAACATGGTCAGAGGAAGATGCATTAGTTTAAATTATTTTTCTTAAATTTTTCGGGGGTCAAAAATCATCTTGGGTCAAACAAAATCAAATACATACTGCCATTAGTTTATCAAAATGTTTTTTTAAGAGCTAAAGAATGTTATTAAGGCTGTCTCACAAGGTGATAAGTCTGAAAAGTTTTGCTGTGATTGATAATTAATGAAAAACATAGGAGGACCTTAAAATCCAAGACATCAAATGATAACTTTTTTTCTTTTTTTTTTTAAATATCATACTCAAAACTTTAAAAAAAAAAAAAAAGAAAAAAAAAACAGGCCCGTGATTTTCTGCAATGACTTTGTAAAGTTCCATTGTTAACCAAACTGGTGGATAAAGCTAAGAAGCTGACTATTGGGCAGAACCAATTAACTCAACCGACTCCTATAAGGGGTGGTCAAATATTAAGCCAGAATCCTGCTATAATCTTCTTAATGAGCACAGAAAGTGTATTTGTGTTAAAAACTGCTAATGAATATTTAACCAACTTGTGTTTTACAGACTAAGACTAAAAAATATCTTTTAGACACTAATGGACACTGCTAATCTTGGCCCAATGCTCACAGCCACAACAGACCGTAATTCTGTGTTCCTCATAAATATCTTTCCAAATGACATACTAGACTGAACAACATAGATACCAAAGCAGTCATGTTAATAAGAAGCTACATTTATCATCCTATATCTATTGTTAGTCATTAACTTTTTACAGTACTCACTTCTGCATCACGGCAAAGCCATCTCCCTTCAGCTGATTTTTCAATTCTTCTTCAGCTTTCTCCAAATCTTCATTGCAGCCCTTATGCTCTTCCTGAACGCTAATGACATTTTCTTTAATCACATCTTCATATTTCTGATCCCCCAGCTCTGAACCCACAAACTGCTCCAAGTTCTCCATCACCACCTTGTTTCTATGTTGGATGGCCCGTAGAAAGTCCAGCTCTTCTTCAAATGCCTTCAGCCTTCGAGCTGAAACTGCTCCATTCGTGCTGAAGTGGACTGAGCAGTCATCTGGTTGGGGCTCAAAGTGGAATAAGGGGGGCGATGATGGCGAGGCTAATAGATAGCTGTTTTTGACATTTTCAGGCTCATCATCAAAGGCCTTCAACGTGTTATTGGTGGCCATTAAGGGAGGGTAGATGTCAAAGCCTGAACCCCAGTCACTGTCTCCACTTTGGCAGAACACCGTGGTTACTCGGGACATCAAGGCCAAGAGGAGCATCGTCCAAAACTGCCACATGGTAACCTGAAGAAATAAAGATGAACGACTGTTACATTTTGTCAAAAGAAGAAATATTTCTTGGCTTGATATTTATTATTTTTTTCCAGCATTTTATTGTCGTTACACTGTCACAAGTACAGAGCAATGAAATGAACTCTTTGCATTTAACCAATCCCTTTGGGGAACAGTGAGCTGCCATTGTGTGGCGGTCAGAGAGCAGTGTGGGGGTTAAGGGTCTTTGCTCGGGACCCAGAGTGGCAGTCCGTGTTGGTGTGGCTTGAACTGAGAGGTCCAGAGGTCCTGAGAACCAAGCGATTCCTAGCTAGCCTCTGTCTCTGTTATATATATATATCTGTATCTCCTATGTAAAGCGCTACGCACTAATGTGAAAAGAAAAGGTCCAAGCATGTCAGCGGGACTCAAGAGGCTACATGAGATAACTCTCGACCCCCTAAGAGGTACCATGATTTTCTGAATGTGACGCCACCTGCTAATGGCGGTACCTGTTTAATTACATTCAGTGTATATCATTAATTTGATCCAAGCCCCTCATACTTAAATTTTTTATTTACTGACTCACATTATTCACCTGCTTTATTTTGTTTTGTATGCATGACTTTTTAAATCACGTGTAATCCAAATATTAAGGTGCTATATGAAGAGTGGACATTACAAAAAGATGTATGCAAAAAGATGTACTGTATGCTATCTTAACTTTATTGTGCAAGTTTCAAAAGGGGGCCTATCTGACCTGCTTAACATCCAGTATGCCTAGAAGGCATACATGCAGAATATGATCAGTAGATGAAATAGTAAATAAGACTGCAGTTATTTAGGGCTGAAGTTTTTTTTGGAAATATAATGTTGGGTGGACAATTTCTCCACAATCACTAGCTTTGATGCAGCCACTATTGCTGATGTTGCTGAATCAGAGGTAGTGGCAGTGGGGTTAAAAGATTCATATTCACATGGCTGAGCTGTGTCTTTTAAGGTTTTTACACTTTTCATATGATTAATAAGCAGAAATTTTATCCATATTTCTGTTTTCAGATCTGCTTTTAGTATTCAAACACTCTCCAAATGGCCAAATCATTTTACTTTAAAATATAGTAGACCAATAGAAGTGTTCAAAACCCCTAAATAACACTGAGACATTTCCAGAAGCATTAAACCTTTTCATATAAGTTTCCACATAAGTAAAATCCTCTGCTACTTTTCTCCAACATGCAGATGGCTGAAAAAATGTGCCTCTCTGAGTATTATGCTGAATACTTTAGCAAGGATTTTATTCTTCTATATGCAAATTATCAACCAACTATTTTGGTTAAACTTTATGGAAACTCCACATCAAGATTATACGATATACATGCAATATGGATTATCTTGCCGAATACTGCATTAGTGTTTTACATATATAGGTTTCTGCTAGCTCACCATATTCATATTCATATTCATGGTATCATTGGAAACACTCCATTTGAAAGCTTGCTTTATAGTTACAGTAAATCTATACTATTTACCAATCAGATTTTCAAATATCTCCTGCACTTGCTTTTTATCATTCTGGATCTTAGATATAATATATTTAAAAGAGTTTATTGTAAGTTTTTCACTTATATATTAGTTTGTCCACCTTCAAGTTTTACCTGGGGGTAATTTATAAAAGCAAAATGGGCCACAATGTTGAAGTAATGAACACAGTTTTCTTTTGCAAAAAAATAAAAAAAATAGAAATATGATTAGATGAAAAAATTATTTGTTAGCACTGTTACCATGTGACAAAAAGGACCTGGTTTAAAATCCCAGCCAAGGTTCTCTCCAGGTACATGCATGTTAAGTTAACTGTTTGGTATCAATCGGTGTGGAAGTATCACCATCCTGTTTTGTTTTTTTTTTTCTGCTGCCCTCAGATAAAATGCTAACCTGTTTGGAATACATTCCACCTCTCTAGAGAAATCCTAAGTAAAATGGACTCTGTGTATAATTTTTATTTTGGTTTAAATCCAACTCTTCTAGGAAGGTCTCAGAGGTTAATAGAAATATTAGTGAGCAAACAGCATCATGAAGACCAAGGAACACCCCATGGAGGGCATGCACAAAGTTAAGTAGACATTTAGAAACATTAGGCACACAATTTCCACAGTACAACATGGTGCTGGTGGTTTACATCAAAGCACAGTCATGTATTAGAATGGCTCAGTTAAAGTCCTGCTTTAAATCTAATTTGAAGCAGCACGACTTTTAAAAAAATGATTACTTGAGGAGCTCTCCAATTGATCTGAATACACAGAAGAATTGCTTTTCAACAAAGAGCAAATGGAAAACATTCCAGTCTTTGCTTGTGGAAAGTTGTTGAACAGCGGTAAGAGCAGCAAAGGTTTAAACTGTGCGTGTTCCAGAGGACTAAATACACATTTGTGCAAATAGTGTTTTTTTTTTCCCCCGCTCCACTTCACAGTCTTGCACTATTTTAGGTTGGTCTGTCACATAAAGTCTCAAATTATCAATATCTGTTTATCCTTGCAGGCTTACAGCTAGTCTGGTTCCTATCTAAAGTGGCCACTAGGTCAAAGGCAGAGTCCCTCTGGACACATTGCCAACCCATCACAGGGGAACCACAGAGAAATGCAGGACAACTAGCCATACTCACATACTCACAGCTCAGGCCAATTTAAAGAGACCATTAATCTCATGGCCATGTTTTTGGACTGCTTGAATACCTGGATAGACTCCATGCATGCATGGAGGGAAATACAAACTCCTCGCAAAGTGACCCTTGGCCGGGAATCAACCCTAAGACCTGCTAAAAAAGAATTGCTAAAAGTGGCCCTGTAGTATACAGCCCATTTAAGGTGTATAACATAGCAAATGCATTTTACATTCCTCAGAATGTTTTTTTTTTTTCCACAAAAAAAAAAACATGAATTAGTTATTATATATCTGTGTTTTTGTTTTCAAATAGAAAATTGTTTAAATTCTGCGGCTTTATATTGTTACTATATAAAAATATATTGCACAAAATTCTGCTGACGTAGCTGTGGTTGTGAAGCAATGAGCTTTTCACATTGTGTGGCTAGACTATGTGGTGGCTATTGTCGTGCCAAGGTTGTAAAGCTGAAAGGCCTCTTTGCAGCATAGGTCCTGTTGTCTCTGGTGGTTTTCTAAGGATCTGTCTCGACATCTTGGGATTTTTTTTTACAGAACATACACTGGGGAAAAAAAGGGAACCATCTGATAAAATAAAACAATAAACGATTACGGTTTCCGGTGAACCTATGTGGCTCTCTTAGCTTATTACATTTCCATCTAGAAATGGAAACTATCTGAAAGCCTCCACCAGACCTTAGAGGGGGAGCCACCACAGACATCTTTCTGCTGTCAGAGCACATTTGGTTTTAGCTTAACAGTTGTTCAACTCTTTAAGACCAAGAGAAAAGAATGGGTATTTTTTTTCTTTCTTATCGGTATCATGTTCATAGTGCTAATACCAAATCTGCTGACACTAACAGTATAATTGCACCATAAAACAACCCAGAGAATAACTTAAAAAATGGTTGCTGTGGTTTTGTCAAGAGTATTTAAAAGGTTACAGTGAGGCTTATGCAACTTTTGCCATTAGAATAAATTTACATTTAAAATAAAAGGATATTCAATGAATGTTCCAGATGTATTCCAAGTCTCAATGACAGCATGCATTAAATCTGTTTTTGCAATTATCTTATTCAGACGGAACAGGCCTATTATTTTAATTGTAAAAGCTTATTAGTCAACTATAAACAGAGGAAAAAAGCTTGTTTGTTGATAAATTCAATGTGAAGCCTGCCTTAAGTCAGTAGCATTTGATGTCCCCTAATTGGGGCAATTCTAAAACATTTTGTTGCTCAAAACTTTGTCTACGCTTGTTTCAGCTCTAGTTTAACAAATGAGTGTTGACTCAAAGCTACAACATTGGCTTAATGACCAACGGTAGTCAGATGAAAATTTAATCTGTCTATTAAACAAAAAGAAAAAACAATTACAGTACACTGACTGTCTTTTTTTTTTTTTTTTTTCCCCGCTAAACTCTTGCTAACCAGAGCCAGATTCACTCCTCAGTGCATCACAGACTTGCAGCAGCTTTTGTCTTTGTTTCTTAAAATTGCCTGGAAAGTTAAGATTCAGGCAGCTTGGTACAAATTATGTTTTTGTTGGACTCTGTAGAGCGTGTAGTGAAAATTTTCCTGACTCCACTTCAAAGGATCCGTCACAGTGAAGTGACTTTTATGGGCTGACTTTACACTCTGCCCAAAATAGCAGAAGTGTTTAAACAAAAAGAAAGCCATCAATTTGCCGCAGTTTGCTCTTTGTTGTAATCTTTAAAAAGAAGGATATGCAAGTCCGGTCAAGGGAATAATTCTCAAAATATATTTGGTTTGAAGTGATTTGTGCAATTAAAACCAAAACTTTACAAACACAATGTAAAAAGATACACGACATTTTTATACTCACCAACTTCTACTATATAAGTTTGTTCAAATTTTCTTAAGTTATTATAGCTAAGTTATTTCCTTAAGTCAATATAATTAGAGAAATTTTAAGACAGTTTTAAAAACTTTTTATAGTGAAGTTACTCTAATTGTCTATTGGACTATATGACTTGTGTGAAACTGTATGATTTATGTGGAATGTTTTGAGTATTCATCTACATGCTTTTGAGGATGCACCATCACTTGTTCATCCTGACAGAACTGATGTTACTGAGTGTTGCTTTATTGGTCAACTTGTTTGCACACATTTCAGTTCTGCTTTAAATCATCTTTGGGGAGTCAGTTCAGGGCTTTGTGATGGCCCGTTCCAAGAGCTGACTGGGTTCTCTTAGACTATTTGAAAATCAGTTAAGGTTAAGTTCAAGGTCATTGTTCATCTGGAAGAAGCATTTCTTGAAATCTTGCGTAAGTCTGTGTGTTTTCTGAATTGCAGCAGTATCTCCTCCAACAAAACACCCTCACAATTATTATACCTCCACTTACTAACTTCATAGTTGGAATGGAGTTTTCAGATTTGTAGAAATCTGAATATAACAATAGTCATCGGGGCCATACACTTACATTTTAGTTTAAAAAAACAGCAAGACATGTTTAGAAAAAAAAGTTAAATAAGATCTTTGACTTTTTCACAAATGTTCTCCTTTGGTTTCTTCTAGCAGAGTGGCTTTTCAGTTAAGGACACTGTTTACTCTGCAATCAGGTCCAAAAAACTTTTTCACAAGGTCTCCTTTAAGTATTTGGGATGATCTTGACTGTGTATCTCTGGGATACAGAACCAGTCTCTTTCTTGATCAGCATGATGCCTCAACAATCATATCAATTTTATTGCTGTTTGAATAGATTCATTTGTCAACTTAAGGGATCTAAAAAGTGTATCCGAGATAAACCAGCTTTATGAAGGTCTGTGATTCTCTTCCTGATATCTTGATTTATCTTTATAAATTTTTTACATAATGTCACACATGAGAGCAGTTAGTGGCAGTTAGGTATATTTAACGAAAAAGAGGAAGAATTTAGAACAATTTAATGTAATCCAAGAAAGCAAGGGATGATTATCAGGGTTCTTCTTAGAAAGTGTTTGTAAATGTCTACCTACTGCCACATAATATAGGAAAGTTTTTTTTCTGGTTTTTAGGCCTGAGTATGAAATTCTTATCTAATATGCAGAAATGTTTTAGTGAAACTTGATTTAACTTCTAACATTAGCTGTGTTAAATCAGATGCTCTTGCCTGCACACATCCTACTCCTTTGCTGTGAGTTTAGGAGCTAATCTGAGTGTTTGTTGGATGGCTGCCATTCAGACCTCCCTGTCAAAGCCCGACCAGGTGTATTTTACAGCTGTCAAAACACATTAACTTCAGTAGCACCATGACAACGATGTCTCTGGTAAGAAAGTTAGGTAAGAGTTGATGCTCTTTTTCTGGCTAACACAAATCAACTGAATACAATTAAATGAAAGTAATATTGAGTAAAAGATAACTAAAAGGAAAAAATAAGTAAAGTTAAACCTTATATGGTTCCTAGTCTGGTCAAGATAAAGTTTATATTTCCAAATGTATTTATCTGCATTTCCACATACAGAAACTTTGAAAACATCCTATTTGTCTTAACAAACATCAAGTTTGGATAACCTCATGCTTCTAGTGGTTTCCCTACATGTTTTTTTGTGTCTCCTCTCTAACAGAGGGAATGGGATCTGATAAACCAACAATTAGGCACGTACGTATGTCTTACCCTTCATCATGTAGCTCAGACGTTGTAAGAGATGGGCTCCCTTAACATTGTTTTATTCATAGATTATATGTCAAAGTATTAAAACAGAATATTTTACCTGATTACAGCCTTTTCAGATTAAAGTACAATCTAAACATAAACATAGATGAACTTTGTATACGTGTGACTTTCATTCATGACATGGTCGCAGTCCAGTCCAAATTGGTAGGAAGGAAGATCAGCTCCTCCATGTCGAGTCCATGGTTCTTCATTTGGGAAAAGGTAACTTGTCTGCTTCAGATCAGAGGAGATGCATTGCCTCACATTGACGATTCTAAGTATTGGGTCCTCCTCTTAATGAGGGAAGAACTGGCTGCAGTGTCCCCGACAATGCGGACACTGCAGCCAGTCTATTGTTGTGAAGAGAGAGTTGAGCCAAAAGGCGAAGCTTTCGACTTATTGGTCGGTCTACGTTCCTAGCCTCAACTACAGTCACAAGATCTGGATTGTGATCAAAAGAATAAGATCCAGATACAACCAGCTGAAATGAGTTTTCTCCACAGGGTGGTCTCCCTTAGAGATAGGGTGAGGAGCTCGGAGTAGAGCCACTTCTCCTCCACATCGAGAGGATTCCGCTGAGTTGGCTTAGACATCTTTTTTGATGCTCCCTGGAAGCGTATATCGGGAAGTCTATTAGGCATGGCCCATCAAGAGGAGGTCCAAGGTGGCAACCAAGGGGGACCCTGGAGGGACCATGTCTCTTGTCTGGCCCTAGAAATCCTCGAGCTTCCCCCCAAGAGGAGGTGTCTGGGGAGAGTGAAATCTGGGAGTGTCTGCCGAGACTGCTGCCCCATCAACCCGGTCAAAGATAAGCAAGAGTTGATGACTGCGAGTATGAGTACCCCACATTTTAGTCACAGCTCAGAATACCAAAACTCTTTAAGTTGAAGTACAGTCTCAAGGAACTTTCTTATAGTTTCTCTTAGTTTTACACCTATATGGGACAAAATTTCTTTATAATTCTTTTTTTTTACTTTTTAACTTGAGAAAATTAGTAGTTTTAGTCTTCTATAGATATGGAGGATTATGGATAACACTTTTATTTGTATTTAAAGTTGTACGATTCCAATTATGACAAAAAAAAATTTAGTTAGAAAAAACAACATATCTACTTTAGCATATAGCAAAAAAAAAGGGTATTCACTTGAGTTTTTCAACATCTTTCAATATCTTCAACTTAGCTGTGTAACAAGTAAGAACAGCCTTAGTATACTAACAAAATAGAGTATTATTTAATGATCAGACTTACCTAACTTTGATAATATCTTTACACTTGGATTCTGCCACTTCTGCTCATTTAGTCAACTGGATCCACTCAGAACTTTAAGGGTACCATTTACAAGCAGAGAGAAGGAAAAACCCAGCTCGCCCCTTCATGTCAGAGAGGGAAAAGTGCAGACACACGCTAATGCAATTAGAGTAAGTCTGGAGAGTCTGGTTGCCTGTGTGCCTCTGTGTGTCTGATGGGTGGAGTTTTAAAAGTAATGGGAATGTTTTTAGAAAACTGAAACTGAAGGACTTTTTTCTCTGCAATGCACAGAGTGGCTGGAAGCAAGTAGAGAGAAAAAGGACGTAATTTACTTCACATATGGGGATTATGGTTAGCATGTGGCTGCATAGTACAGAAAAAGCTTAGATATCTATATCATTTCTTTTTTAAGAAGATTTCTGAAAATAAGTTTAAAAAAAATGGATTCATGTAGGCATATACGAAAGAAGAAAAGTTTAATTCTTGGCTACAGGGAGGTTTATTACCCTGAAATACGTGTAAATTTTATGTGAGCCTATGCATTCCTTATGTATTTGGTGATGTTGGTGAATATTCTCAATAATCCAGGTCATAGTCAGTCCAAAAAACCACAGTTTGTTTAAAAACAATCCACTGGACCTTGTTTCCAAGTTTGAAGACGTTTAGCTTCCCATCCAGGAAGCTTTTTCAAAGTTCAAAGTTTTTTTTTTACTTTTTTAGTGTTCTATTTTCATGATTTTGTAGTATTGAGAGCTATCTGGTTTTAGAAGCACAAAGTTTGATCTGTTAAATCTATTAATCACACAAAGATTCGTTTGTGTTTCTTTTTTTTTTCTTTTACTGATGTGATATAAAAACCTGAGCCCATTCAGGCAAAAAAATTGTAATAGAGTTATTTTAGAGTTATATGAATATATATGACTGAGATTGTGAGCTTAAAAATCTATCCTTTTTGGTACTGTACATTGCCGTGTTTTCAGGTTCGAAGGGTTTCATATAGTCCTTCCAGCTAGTGCTGGATCTATCACATGATTTCCTGTCAGTTGGATGTGGATATAAAACGTGCAAAGTAGGCATTCATGGGGCAGAAGGATGGACCACCTTTCATTGTAGAAAAATAATTAGTTTTACATAAATCTCCACCCAAAAGAAGGGGCTCCTTAAAAACATGCCCATAGGTTCCTGCTAAAAATTATAGATAGATTAGCATTAGTATAGATTAGCAGCTAGGGAATTGTTTAAAGTGTTTTTGCTGCCCCTATATAATAAAATTTCCTTATTTGATTGTTTTCTTGACCCATTTCTTCTTAAAGAAACTCCTATCACTGCTGCTTTTTTCTGATTGGAATGACCTGAAATGTGGCTGTTAGTTTACAAACACAGAAAAGATGAATCCTCCCTGACCACTGAAATACAACTCCTGTAGAACCAACATTAATTACCTACATTTTGGTACAGCTTTATTATAACGTATAACAACAAGTGATACACATCGACCATGAGAACAACGGGAGAGACTGTATGATTATGACGGCATTTTAAAACTGGTCAACTTGTAACAGTACAGCTTCTCTTTTCAAAAGTTATCTATGTAGAGATGATATCCTTATACAGTAGCTTAGCTTACTCTATAAAATCAGATTTGTAGATGAAACATCAGACTAGCAATCATTATGTAAAGGATCCAAGAAGATTCTCCCAGAACATATGTAAGCAGGTATTTATCCTCAATGCAAAATATTAAGTTTGAATTACTCTAAACTCCTTAAAACGTTTGATACATTTAAGAAATGGATTTGCAAAACCTTAAATTGCGCTTTTGGAAAAAGCTGTTCAAAGTATATGACAGCACAGACAATTATACAGTTTATAAAATAAAGATGACTCTTAAGGAAGAAAGTTGAACTGTTTAAAGGAAAGAATTTACAGGATCGAAATGCTTGATCAGTGTTATTCATCTGATATTCAAACCAATTAGTCATTATAAGAGCCAATCTCGGATCCAAGTACAATGATTTTAAGATTTGTTTTGCTTTTAATCCTGAATCACTTTCACAATGAGCTCTTTCCCATGATTCAGGTATGTGACGAATTTGGGTTTCAAATTAAAGTTATTTACTGGAAGGTTTAGTAAATAAAATATAAATCAAGTTTCAGCTGTGGATTTATTGACCATGAGAATATTTGAGCATCTTTTAAATGACTTGTACCATGTGCACCCTTAGGGCTGTTATTGACCAAGGCAAGGACTTAGTACTCTTCCAACCCTCTTATATATACAGTAGCAGGGTGCACACAGTGTGCTTGGGCTGATAAACTCTGCAAATCCGCTCAGGGACCCAAACTCAGTTTAGGCTTTCCTCAGTGCCCAGAACCAGGCTGCTTTGCCTATTATGTTTCCGTCTAACTACACAGATTGCAAAGCTTTGTGACTAACAGGCAGGGTGCTGTGATAATATTGAGCACTATAATTCATAACATGTTGCATTCTGTGTTGTAATTAATAAATCTTCGGCTGGAGGTGCCATGTGAATTTTTGACAGTATGGCACTCTGGCTTATAAAACACTTACACAAGAAGGTGACCTTAAATAACTAGCACCAATAAATGGCTGCTAGTGAAATTGCAGCATAAAACACATGCTCAAGCTGAAATGACATGAAGCTTTTGAGTATTACAAAATCTTTAAAAGCATATGCAAGTAGCTATGATAAATGCAGTGAACGGTTCTCTTCTGATGACTGAAGTACAATTAGAAATAAAAAGATTATCAGAATAAAAAAGTATCTCCTTCCTCTTCAATATAAAAAATGAATTTAGATTTTGAAAGATGTATATTAGGAAAAAACAAGACTAAATGGTAAAAATAATTCAATTAAAGTAGTCATTTTAGCTCTTTCAAATATTGTAATCAAAGCTACCTCTCTATACAGTACATGCACCGTTATTTTGTCATAATGAGAGAAAAACTCTGAATCAGGGCAACCACAGAGACAGTTAGTTTGGTTAAGGAAAACTATTAAACAAAGAACAGAAAATGGAGTCTGGCAGGATCTACCTGGTACAGCCTAGGGAAAAGTTTGGGTGATGATGAACAACTGATCTGAGGAGGTGGGAAGGTGGAGGATGCTGAACTCACGGGGCTTGAGGGTCCTGGAGGAGGACTGCAGCAAACTGGCTTGTTTGGTTGCTAGGAGGGAAAGAACAGAGACACAGGATTAGATCTGGCTTAAATAGAAATCTAGGAGTAAGCTGGTCGGTCATATACCACACTTGTAGCGAGACAGAACTGACGCCCTCCTCCTGGTCCCAGCTCCTTAAGTAGGCTCCAAAATCAACAGAGATGAGCTGCACCTGCCCATCACACCCTGCAGAGAAGAGAGAGAGACACTAGACCTGCAGTATGACATATTTAGCTCTTCAGCTGGATTCTTCAGATCCTTCCCTGCTAAACTATGAACTTTCTCATTTCCACTAAACACCAAAAATCTTGTTTGTAATATAAATTTAAGTTAATACATAACTAATTCAAATCAAAAACAGCAAATCACGGATCCCTCTTATAAAACAAGATCTTTTTGACTATCTCAGTATTTATTTTTTTTTTAGTGTTCCTTATTGTTCAGAAGGAATGTCGGGTACCAAGCCTGTCAAGCTCAGAACTAAAGGACCCAGTATTCGAGATGGAAAAATAGTTAGATTTGACAAAACGTTTATCTAAGACGGAACTACTGAGTATAGCGTCGGCGTCTAAGGCAGGAACCTCTGCAGGGAGAGAACAGAGGTTAGGATAATTTATATCTGCCGGAGGATGATAATGAACGTGGGAGTCACTAACCTGGTCTTATAGTTCAGTCCGCGCCCAGAGGATGACGTAGGTTCTGGCTGTTAGGCTTCCAAAGAGAAGTGGAAGGCACCGCCCAGAGAGTCCCAGATGCTGAAGTCCCGGAGGTCAGTGAACATGACAATCCAGAGGGTGAAGCCAAAGCCGGTGTGAAGCGGTGTTAAGGAGTCAGAGCCAGAGGATCAGAGGTGTGAAGAGGTGCCGAAAGACAATTCAGAGTGGAGTTGGACACAGTTTCAGGTTTGGTAAACATGCAGAAATCCAACAGCAGTCAAAAGACAGGTCAGGCCAACAGATCAGAAAAGAGACATGCAGGCTCAGAAGTCAAGAGGCAGAACTGGTCAGGATCATGCAGTCAGAACATACAGCAATGCTAGAGAATTCTCACCAAAGGCTCCAATAATCTGGTGCTGATGACTAGTCTGAAGGTTGGTTAAATAGAGGCTGAAATAGATGGATCAGATGCAGACTAGGAATGATTTTCGGCCCCGGTATTTTTCCATTTTTCCATCCCACTTAGGGACCCCCAGGGAAAAAAAATGGAAGCAAAGTCAAACGCATGCATCTCAAAAGTGAAACAAAATACAAATACACATTGTGGATTAACCTATCTATCTTCAAGCATCACACGACAGCAAGCACCAAGACTTCTATAATGTGGTTTTATTGGCTTTGGTTGTTAACACGGACGAGACACTGACTGCTGCTGCATAACTTCCACACTTGCACGAACCAGCCAGCCAGACACCCACCCACTCACACATAATAGGCCTACAATGTAAGCCTGAGTGTTGTAAAAACAACAAAAATAAAACAATACAATATAGAGGCAGACAGGCAGTTCTTCAAGAATGAATACATGAAAACTCAGCGATGTGTAAGCATTCACTGCGGGTCTAGGTGGAATGTGGGCAATGAAATGGAATAATGTATACACCATGGTAGACGGCCATCCTAAACTGTCAATGCACGTAAGATGGGAAAGGTTAGCCTTTTGATGCAAAACCCCATCATGCACTTCAACATATTTTTGCAAAATATTAGAACATAAATTCGCCTAATATCAGAGGAACATCGTAGTTTGGTTTAAAGAAAGCATTTTAGTTTAATTATAATTTAGTTTGTTGCAAGGATTTTACAGTTTGAAGAAACAGAATTTTACAGTTTGAAGAAATAGAAAATTACACCATATGCCAACCGTCATAAGGATATGCATGACAAGGAAGGGCTATATACACTGCATGCATCATTTATGTAGTTAACATTGTATTACTTCTTGAGCTCCTTGAGTTATTTACTGTCAGAGGCAGTGTGCTTCAGCTGGAGAGTAAGTGTTGGGGACGG